CTCAGCTGTTAATAACACTGGCTGCTCTTCTGGAGGACCCAGGTTCCATTCCCAGCACTTGTGTGATTTACAGTGCCTATCACTCCAGGCCCAGGGGGTCTGATGCCCTCTTCTGGTCTCTATGGGCACTTATTGTATGCATCTGGTGCGCAGACATACATGTGAGCAAAATACCTATACACATAAAAAAAAAATCAAAGAAAAAAATTTTAAATCTTAAAAAAAACCTTTATTGAAGAATTTAGTATGAAATTAGTTTATTGTATTATGATTGACTTAAGCCATTTTTTATTAGCTTTTCAGAATTAGTTTGGCTTTTGTAGGCATGTGATTTTTATCAGATTGGCTGTTAGTTTTGATTCATCTGACTCTGACCTACACATAGCACTTTCCATGACTTAAGAGTTCTCCTTGACAGTGATTTCTTCCAGTATCTGTAAATCAGTGTTTAAAGTTGTAATTTTAATTTACAGTGTTAAGATGGTATTTAAGTACCGAGTTGTGAAATTATAGAAAGATATGTTAGCTTGCTTGGGTCAAGACCTTTTGTAGATTTTTTTTGTGTGTGGAATAATGCTAGGCATAAAAATCATGATTAATAAGCAATTACTGCCCCCAACCGTGTTGTGAGCCCTCCTTGCTGTTTTGAACAGGGCTCACAGAGTCAGTAATTTACAGACCGCCGGACCTGGCATGTAGTCCAGGTTTCTTGATTACCCTTTTCATGGCTGCTTACCATGCATCTGCAGGGTTTCCTGGTGTATAATTTCCAGTGGGAGAGAACTGGAAGCTGGTGTTGTTGATATCTCTATGCAATCGTGTGCAATTTAATGTCAGTAATAAGTAAAACAGTCTTTAGTCATTCCTTGTACGGGAGTCTCGGCCAAGCATAGTGACAGACACCTTCAATCCAGGACTTAGGAAACAGGCTGGGAGATGCAAGGGCTGCATCCTGAGATCCTGTCTCAAAGAGAGTAGGGGGCAGTGTTTCCCCTACAAATTCTCTTCTCAGCTGCTGCCCTTTAAAAAGTTAATTTTGTTTTATGTTTGTTTTCTTTTGTGTACGTCTGTTTACCACCTGTGTGCCTGATGCCTGAAGAGGCCAGAAGAGGGTGTCAGATTCCCTGAGACTGGTCACAAATGTGAGCCATCGTGTGGGTGCTGAGAATTAAGCCTGAACCAGAGCCCTCTGGAAGAATATCCAGTACTCTTAACCGCTGAGCTGCCTCTCCAGCTCCAAGTTGCTGCCTTTATTATCTATCTATCTATCTATCTATCTATCTATCTATCTATCTATCTATCTATCTATCTATCATTTGGAGATCTCATGTAGGTCATGCTGGTCTCACACATATGTACAGCTGAAGATGACCATGAACTGATTTTCTGAAGATAACCATGAACTGCCTCTATCTTCCAAATGCTGGGTTACAAGGAGCCACCATTACTTCCAGCTGCCTTTATTTTAATAAGGCTTTAGGCATATTTAGGATATGCAGGATGTTTCTCTATAAATTTTGATTGCTTCTGTCTATTGGGTTTTCATTGTGGGCTGTTACTCTGATAAGCATGTTAGGTTTCTTTCATTTAATTATCTCAGCATCCTTATAAAGTACTGTTACCAATTCCATTTTATGAATGAGGAATCTAAATTTTCAGGAGTTAAGCACTAGTCTTTGGATACAGATTTGATCTACAGTAGTTTTTAAAACTAAGCATGGAAGATTTTTTTCTTCAATCCTCCTTAGCATGAAAGATCTTAAGATACCAGCTAAATTTAAATGCTTTAAAATATCAGTATATTTCTTTTGCAGGGTCAAAAAGATTATAATGAAGGTTAGAGTTTAAAGGAAAAGATGAAATTCTGTGTGACTTAGAAAGTAGGGTTTGAATGTTTCTGTAGTGTCAAGAAAGCCTCCTGTCCCTCAGTGAGGGCTGCAGACACCCAACAGCCAGGGAGTGATCTTAGAGCCCCCTGATCCCTGATTCAGAGTGAGTGCACTGTGATGCAGTATTACAGTAAGATAAAGTCAGAGGGTCCATTGCTCTGTCTTCTACAGGTGGATGGTTGGAAAGGTTGGGCTTCTGAATCCCCGAAATAAATTGCTCTCTCTAACTTTGTTTGTTGCAATATTTTTCTAACCTTTGAGCCCTGGTGAAATAACTTCTACAGCTAGGATAAAGACTTTCCCTCATATTGTTTTATGTGTCCGTATTTGTATCAGAAGTCTTAAAGCAAGGCTTTATCAATTCTTGTTTATAAGGTAAGTGATTCACCCTTGGTAACAACTCATATGGCAAAGCTGGAGCTTGCATCCAGGTCTCCTGACTTTATCTTCTTCATTAAAACACTGCTGTTATATTGTGTGTGTGTGTGTGTGTGTGTGTACATACGTACTTGCGTCACTTATGGACATTCCACAGTGTGTATGTGAAAGTCAGAGGATAACATATGGGAGTTGGTTCTTTTCTTCTGCTTATGCTGTTGGGCTGCACTAGCTCACCAACTCTTTGTCTATTTATCATTACTTGTCTTTTCAAATTAAAAAATGTTTAGGCCAAGGCTTGCTGTGTAGCTCAGGCTGGACTGGAAATCTGTGTAGCCTCGCTTGGCAGTCTTGATGCTGAAGAGGAATGTTGTACCTCAGTGGGTCTGAGGACCCGAGGAAGCCTCTGTTGTTCCACCTCAGATGTTATTGTTGCTTTGGCCTGTGGAACGTTGTCAATAACTAGGTAACTATCTTAGTTTTCTATCTCTGTGAAGAGGAACCATGACCTAAGCAACCTTGTGAAAGAAAGCCTTTAATTGGGGGCTTGCTCACCAGTTTCAGATAGTGAGTCCATGACCATCATGGCAGGAAGTATAATGGCTGGCAGTGAGGGAAAGAGAGGGAGAGAAGTAGAGAGGGTGAGGAGAAAAGGGGCTTGAGTTTCATACTTCTTCCAAAAAGGCCACACCTCCTAATCCTTCCCAAAACAGCTCCACCTACTAGGGATCACACATTGAAATATATGAGTTAAGGGGGCCATTCTCACTCAGACAACTACAGTGAATTACGTTAAATTATGAGGAAGCCTTACATAGATTCCTTACAATGTGGCATCCTGTTTAATGCAGAAGTAATAATAGCATGCTAGGCAAAGATAGGTAGATGAATGAGCAGTGGCTGATCTTCAGGGCACCCGATTTGATTTCCAGCACTCAGGTGTGCCTCATAACTATCCTTAACTCCAGTTCCAGGGATCTAATGCCCTCTTCTGGCCTCCACGGGCATCAAACACACAAGTGTGCACAGACATACACATAGGCAAATCACCCATGCACATACAAAAAAATTAAAATGAGATGCAGGTATGTTCAGAATGGTGCAGGAACTCGAAGGAGTGAATTGGAAAGTTTCTGGTACTGAGCTGCTGGGAGAAAAGCCCACAAAGGAAACTTGAAGGCAGTGGTTCTCAGCCTGTGGGGCAAGACCTCTTTTACAGGGACACTTAAGGCCACCTGCATATAAGATATTTATATTACGAATCATAACAATAGCAAAATTAGGGTTATCACGTAGCAACAAAAATAATTTTATGTTTGGGGGTCACCGCAACATGAGGAACTGTACTAGAGGGTCGCAGCGTTAGCAGGGTTGAGGACAACTGCTTTCTGGCATTCCAAGATAACGAGCGAGCGCAGTGGAGTCAGAACAGTACTTTTGAGTGATAGACTTTTGAGTTTAGATTAAGGCAGTAAAAAGCAGGGAGGGAGATTACCATTCCGGTCCTTACAGTCTGTGACCCTTCACTCTGTCTTTGAGAGCAGCCCCAGGCTGATCTTAGGAGACGCAGATCAGTTAGAGCATGACTTCTTAAAACTGTTGCCACCTCTGTGTGGGTCACCATTCGGGGTTTTGAATGTACAGCAACTACAGTTTCAGAGGCAAGTTTGTTCTTAGCAACCCCCACCTGGGTTGCAGCCCGTGATTTCCTGCAGCCGAGGCCAAGTGGAAAAGTTTGGACTACTTTTCTTGGCAGAGGGATTTCAAGATCCCCAAATATTGACTCTGTCCTGTGGTTATTAGTGGTTATTCTAATGCATATCTACACTGAGAAAGGGGAACCAGAGCAAAAGAAAAATACAGAAGGTACAATTTGAGGAGAAAAATCACACCAGGAAATGAGATGGTGGAACCGAGCTGTGTGCTGAGAGAGGCCAGATGTGCAATGGAATAAAGGGAGTGGTGCCCCAGGGCAAGATGCCACCCAGCTGATGCTGAAATTTTCGAAGGGAAAAAGTCTGAGGGATTTCCTCCACCTAAAAAGCAACTACAAAGGAACACTTATGCAAATATAATTCAAGGAGGGGCCAGGATCCATCCAAAGCAAATAGTCCAGCTTGGCAGCTTTAGCCATGTCTGTGTTCTGGCTTTAGAGCCATGAAGGATACAAGAGGAAAGGGGTTGTGGAATCTTCCTCTACAGTTAGGGCGATATGGAGGTCAGGCATGTGGCAGGAGAGTCCCTGAGTGCAAGCCCTGACAGGCCTTTTTGTGAAGAGGTGAAAACGAAGCCTGGATTGTACTAGGAGCCCACAAAGTATTGGGGGTTCCAGAGTCCTGGGACACAAGCCAGGAAAGACGGAATCTAGGGAGTGGAAGGAGCTCACGAGAAAGAAGTGCATTGTTAGAGAAGCAGGGAGGAGAGAGCTATCCGAGGAAGCCCTTTGGCATTGGGCACAGAGCCACGGGATTTGCAGTTTGCTGCTGTTTTGGACATAAGAGCTAGCCGGCACGTGAGGTGTTCTGTCTACTGAATGAGTTAGAACACGGAATAGTATAAATCTGTAAAGTATTACATTTCGATACGTGAGTTGAAGGATTTTCAGCATTGTTTTCCGTCATGACATCTGTCTTTCAGATTTTTTTTATCAGGTGGTAGAACTCTCAAGAAATAATTTTTAAAGAGCTGTTTTGCAGTTTTCTTTTCAACGTGATACCATTTCTATTCCCACAGGTTTGATTGTAAATGCATCACCAAGAGGCAGCCCAGAATGAAGAAAGCAAACAGGAGTGCTGGCTCAGTGCCTAAGGTGTCTGGAGTAGGCAAACCGCAAACAGTAGAAAAAAGCAAGCCTGAAAACAGCTCTTCAGTACCCACAGGAAGCAAACCTGTAAAGCCTGGAATAGCATCTTTGTCGAAGGTATTAACAGCAGTATCTGAATATACATTGGATTTTAAGCATGCACATATTTAATATGTTGAATTTATTAATGAGAATTATTTGGGGTTTACTCACTGCTAGTACTAGGGTCTCTGAACAGAGCAGGGTGGCTTTAATTGGTGTTTTGATCCATCTGTATGAATGAAATTAATAGTAGGCTCTGCATGTAGGAAATAACTGAGTGCCTGCTTTATGAAGGGTGCCGTGTTCAGGTGAGCCAGAGGTAGAGTCTGCCTTCAGGGAGCTTGAGGAGGAAAGGATGGCAGCCACGAGATGCAAACTGAACCACCCCTGAAATGTCAGGTGCCAAGAGAAGTAGACAGGATGGCCGGTAGATAATGCTCCCAGCTCGGGAAGGCCTGTGGAAAGAATAGGTGAGGGTGTGTTAAAGGGTGGCTGCTCTCACATTCCTCTGACTTCTTGACAGTAGTTTTTGTCCTGTGACACATGCATGCTTTGACAGCATGAGTTTCTTTTTTGTTTGTTTTTGTTTTTTTGAGACAGGGTTTCTTTGCGCTGTAGTTTCTGGCTGTCCTGAAACTGTAGACTAAGCTGGCCTTGAGTTCAGAAGTCCGCTTGTTTCTGCTTCCTGAGTGCTGGGGTTAAAAGTGAGCACCAGATTGCCTGCTCTTTCCAACAGCTGATCCAAGATTAGTCCTGGCTAACATTGGAGGTTTTAATTCAGTAAGAGCGTAGTTAATTTTCTTCAGACTGTAGAGACTGGATTAATCATTTTTTTTAGTATAAAATTGTTTTTAGACTAACGACTTTGGCAAAAGAGAGATGAGTACTTGGCTTCAAAGGGCTGGGGCCATAATTAAAAGGGGGATTACAAGTGGACAGCACAGATCAATGATTTAAGAAATGAGAGGTGGTGGCAGCGTTTTGTGTTATGTTTTGCTTTGTTGTTGTTAGAGTTGAATCTTTTAGCTCAGGATTGATTTTGATTTTGGGAACAGAGCAGTTTTCCAGGGGTGTTCTGTCCGTCTGTCCTTCCTTCTTTCCAGCTAGCTACCTATCTATGTATTGTGCGCATAAACGTGAATGCATGTGTGTACCTTTGTGCCACATTGTAGAGGTGAGAGAGGGCTTAAACTCAGGTTGTCAGCCTTGGTGTCCAGCATCTCTGCCTGCTGAGTCACTGTCCCAACATCCACTTTTTAAAATGTCATTATTATTATTATTATTATTATTATTATTATTATTATTATTATTATTATTATTTGCTGTATTGTTTTGAGACAGGATCTTCTGTGTAGCCCAGGCTGGCCGCAGGCTCCTTGCAGCGTCCTCCCGGCTGCCCAGCTGCCAGGGTTACATGTGCTTCCCACCACGCACAGCTGCTGCTTCTGTGTCTGTTCTTGCGTGCAGCTGCACACAGTCTTCTTCCAGCTTTTCCGTTTAAGGCCTGTTGGCTTCCTTGCTTGCTGCCTTGCTTTAGTATTGGGATGCTTGGCTAGAAACTGAGCACGCAGAAACCAGGAGGGGGATTCTGCTAGTCTGACAAGGAGAAAGCAGGCCTGGCCTGTGCTCCCCAGCAACCCTTTATCCAGGCAGAGGTTTTTAGGTTGTGGATCAACTTATTTTAAAAGCACCTTAGAGGGACAGCTGATGAGGGCCTTCCATGTGTGTCTGAAAGATCTAACAGGAAATGCTGTTTTGTATTTCAGGGTTGTTGAAACTGAACTTGGACTGATCCAGTGGGTATGGGGCCCCTAATTTTTTTCTTACTATATCCTTATGAGTTGCTAGTTGTCATCCTGTGGCCTGGAGGATGGTGCCAGGAATGGCCTTTGTCCTACTTCTGCTCTTCTGAATCAACACCCTAAAGTGTTTGCGTGGTGTCAGTGCTGTGACTCTTTCATGAGAGAGATGGCGTGTTCTGACCTAACTGATGACTTAATTGCTGGGCCTGTCTTCACAGGAGAGTGCCTGTTCGACAGGTGACCTGTTACTTATGTGGCCAGAAGGGTAGGTTGAAGTGTTGGTGTCGGGTGTGTATTCCTGCCTGCGTTCTGTGGCTCCGTGTCAGATTGACCATGGCATGTGCACTGAGCAGGCCTGTCACTTCTGAGGTGTAGCTGCGGAGTCGCTGGGAGTTTGGTCTTGAACAGTGGGTACCTTTGCACTGTAAAGCAAAACTGTACACACGCTCTTCCCAGCACACACTGGCTGTTTACACTTCAGCAGCTTTGTTTAGTGTATGTGCAAGTGTGTTGAGGGGGTGTAGGCTGATTTGAGTAGGGGGGGTCAGCTCTCATACTCTTTGGTAACACTGAACAGGTCAGTTACTGTCGCTTATCCTAAACTGTTGTTGATTAGAAATTGGAGAGATAGGAAATAAAAAGTAAAAAGAAGCAAGAAAAAGAAAACATTAAAGGGGTTTTGAGGCTCGTGGAGTTCAGCTCTGGTGCGATGCCTCACATGTGTTATGCCCCAGGTACCGTCTCGAGCACGACAAAAGAAGGGGTGAACCCTGCTGACTTGCTACAGTTTGATTTTCAATCACTACAGTTCACAGATTCTCTGGCACAAACCCCCACAACTTCCAATCTTGTAACTGTAATGGAGCATGATGAGCAGGAGGTAAAGAAGGCTCTGGCTTTTAGTTATTTAAATAGCACAAATGCTCGCACTTACCCCACATTCACACATTTTGTCATTGATCAAAATTCCCATGAGCCCTTTCTCATAGTGTCAGGGTAAAAGCACTTGAATGTTTTTACTCTCATCTCAGATAGAGTTGGAGGATGATCTTTGTGATGCAGAGCTCCAGTCACTCTTGACAGGAGCTGTGTGGGTAGAAAGAGATGTAGGCCAGCTGCTCCGGTCTGTGCTGAGGAACACAGCCTTCAGTGGCGCCATCGTCCAGGGCGCATGCTGCTGGCCTATCACGGTGAGTGTGGAAGAAGCAACAGAACAGCTGGCATGCTGGCAGGAGCAGTTCCCATTATACTGGTGTGTGTGTGTGTGTGTGTGTGTGTTAATTCATGCATGGGCACCATTAAGTTTCAATCAGAATCCAAATAACTGATAGTATTATTTTGATCATACTTTTCTGTGATTATAATTTTGTGGTTAACAAAAGCTAGTTAACAGGGTTATAGCTTAGTGATAGGCTGCTTGTGTAGTATGGAAAAGGCCCTACTACACACACATGCTTACACACAGAAGGGCAGGCAGGGGAGGGAAGGAAAGAGTTAACAGTGTGACCATTCACCTGTGAAATGTAAAATTTGTAAAGTAATCTTAATGTTTGAGGAAAATGTGCACACTTGAAAATTTAGATTCTCTGAGAGACTGTCCAGCAGGGGATCAAAGCAGATGCAGAGACTCACAGCCAAACTTTGGGCAGAGCACAGGGAGTCTTATGGGAGAAGGGGGTTATAAAAGGACCCAGAGGGGACAGGAGCCACACAAGGAGACCAACAAAGCCAGAAATAAGCAGGGCCCAGGGGGGACTTCAGAGACTAATGCATCAACCAAAGACCACACAGAGAGAGGACATAGACCCCCTGTTCAGATGTAGCCCATAGACACCTCAGCTTTTATGTGGGCTCCCTAGCAAGAGGAGAAGAGAGAGTCTCTGACATGAACTGGTTCGCCTGCTCCTTGATCACTTCTCCCTGGTGGGGTGACCTAGCCAGTGTGCTGTGTGTGTATGTGTCGTTTTGGATAGCTGTGGTTACAGTACTTGTGTGGGTCCACTGTCTTATTTTGTGGTCTGTATGTCTGTGTTCCGGTACCATATTATAGCTTTATAATGTATCTTGAATGTCTGGAATGGCGATTCTTCCAGTCTGCCAGTATTTTTGTTGTTGTTTTGTTTTGTTTTTTTGGAGACAGGGTTTCTCTGTGTAATAGCTCTGGCTCTCCTGGACTTGCTTTGTAGACCAAGCTGGTCTCAAACTCATAGCGATTGCCTCTGCCTCCCTGAGTGCTGGGATTACAGACATGTGCCACCATGCCTGGCTTCCCGCTAGTATTCTTTTTGCTTTGGCTGTCCAGGGTCTTTTCTGGTTCTACCTGAATTTTAGGATGCTGTTTGAAGTTTGTGAAGAATGTTCTGTAACTCAAAAGATTTAGTCTTTTCGTAGTGTCTTTTTATTCCAACAAATAAATACTTAGTCTTTTTATGGTACCTGTCTCACATTTGCTGCATATTCCTTTCCTGTGCTTTTTACAACGTTCCAGATTCTTTGGTCTAGGTCCTTTACTTTATTTTCAAGTCCTGCTATTCTGTCCTCTGCTTGATTCATTCTACTTGTGAGTTTTCTTGTTAGATTATTGAGTGTTCCAACTCCATCTTCATTTCTTTTGTGGTCTCTTTATTGAAGAGTTTTAAATCCTGACTTATCCTCCTCATTTCATTGTTTTTTTTTCTTTTTAATTTATTTTATGTGCGTTATCGTGAAGATGTCAGATCCTTTGCAATTGGGGTTACAGACAGTTGTGAGCTGCCATGTGGGTGCTGGGAATTGAACCTGGGTCCTTCAGGAAGAGCAGGTAGTGCTCTTACCCACTGAGCCATCTCTCCAGCCTCCTGTTTGTATTTTCTTAGACATCACTCAAGCATTTATTGTTATCCTCTTGGAGTTCAATGAAGTGTTTGTGTGTTTTTTTTTTTTAATTTCTCAAGTTTATTGATAAAATTTATGGTTGTTCTTTTAAATTCTGTGTCCTGGTGCTCTTTTAGGTAGTTGTCATTAGATACCACTTCAGTGGGGCTAGGGGTTGGACAGGAGCAAGCTGTCTTGTTTATTTATTCATGGTTTGGTTTTGTGATTTCCTGGCAGGTGTACTTCTTTGGTTTGTGTGTGTAGTATGATAATCCAGCCTGCCGTAGACTGGCCCTGTGCAGGAGCTGAGTGGTCTAACTTGGCAAAGCTGGTGGATGAAAAAGGTCCAGGCAGAGGTGGCTCCCAAACAGAGGATGTAGGCCTGTAGGATGTAGATTTGTCAGCCAGGTGAGGGAATGATGGGAGAGGGAAGGAGTATCTCTCAAGTCAAAAGATGCGCTTGTACAAACCAGGTTTAAAGGCCACCAGTCTGGACCCAAGCCTGTGAGTGTGGAGGTGGCCATAGGCAGGGGCAGCTGTGGGGATGGGGGGGGTGTGCATGGGAAAGGGCATGGGTTTGGAAATAGACTTGTGGTTTTGTAGGTGGGGAAGGGCGGAAAGGGAAGAAGTGATTTATCCAACAAAGTTGGTCCACTAACCAAACTACAAAAATCTTTAATAAAAAATGTATATATTCAGTTAATGATTTTCCGTTTCCACTTGCTGGAAATAAATGATCAGTTTCATTCTTGTTTATTCTTCCAGTGTTCCTTTTTGCATAAATAGGCAGATACACTTAGATTTCATTTGCTTGCTTATCTATCTATCATCTATCTATCTATTTATTTTTGGTTTTCTGAGGCAGGCGTGGCCTACTTTACCCAGCTAGCTCTTAATTAAAAAAAAAAAATATATATATATATATTTAAATATATATATATTTAGCTGGGTTCGGTGGTGCATGCCTGTAATCCCAGCACTCAGGGAGGCAGAGGAAGGTGGATCTCTGTGAGTTCGAGGCCAGCCTGGTCTACAAAGTGAGTCTAGAACAGCCAAGGCTACACAGAGAAACTTTGTCTCAGAAAAAGCAAAACAAACAAACCATAAGATTTATTTTACTTCTGTGTATATGTGTATGTAATGTATTTATGTATGTGTGTGTGTGCATGTGTTGGTGCCAGCATGGGCCGCAGACCTTGTGTCCTCCTAGAGCTGTTCCCTCTATGAGAATAGCAAGAATGCTTAGCTGCTGGCCGTCTCCAACCCTATACTTAGATTTTAAAATACTTTTTTTTATTAAGGCTTCCGTTGCTGTGATGAAATACTGTGACCAAAGCAACATGGAGAGAAAAGGGCTCATTTGGCTCACACTTCCACATCATAATCCATCATTGAAGGAAGTCAGGGCAGGAACTTAAGCAGAGCAGGGACCTGGAGTCAGGAGCTGATGGAGAGGCCATGGAAGGGTGCTGCTTACAGGCTTGCTTCTCATGGCTTGCTCTGCCTTTCTCATAGACCCTGAACCACCAGCCCACGGATGGTACCACCCACGATGAGCTGGGCCCTCCCCTGTCATTCACGAATTAAGAAAATGCCCAATAGCCCAATCTTATGGAGGCTTTTCTCAGTCAAGGCTCCCCCTTCTCAGATGACTCCATAGTTTGTGTCAAGTTGACATAAAACTATCAGCACACTTTCTTTTATACAAAGAACATGACATTATATTATATATATTATCTTTTTTTTTTTTTAAAGCTAGCTTTCTCTGTGTAGCCTTGCTTGTCCTGGACTCACTTTGTAGACCAGGTTGTCCTCGAATTCGTAGAGATCTCCCTGCCTCTGCCTCCTTGAGTACTGGGATTAAAGGTGTACTCCACCACGCCGGCTGCTTAGCTACATTTTTACTTAATGTAGTCTAGAAATCTCTATATTGATATTTTTAAATGTGGGGGGGTCAAAAGACAACTGTGGGAGTTAGTTCTCTCTACCATACAGGGTGCAAAGCTTGGACTCAGGTCTTCAGGCTTGATGTCAAGTGAGCCATCTCATGAGCCCTCTATACTGCTATCCTGATCATTTTTAAAATATTAGCTGCGTAGCACACTTCATTGTATACCAATCCAGTTTACACTATCCTTCCCCAAAAAGTGTGTTATCATTTTTTTCTGTGTTTGCTAGCCTGGTAGGTATCAAATATTTCACCATCTGTTTTCATTCCTCTTCCTTTTTTAAAATTTATTTATTTTGACTGTGATAAAGATTTTAAAACTCTTTCTAAACTACAGTTTAAGATTTTTACTTTTATGCTCTTAAGTTTATGAGGTTTTTGTTCTGTGATGTCAGTTTCTGGTTGTAGTTAGAAACAGCATACTTTATTTTTGATGTGGTATGAAACACTCCAGACTCATTCCTTTTTCACTTTTTTGTGAATTCATGGTTGACCTAGCATGATTTCCTGTAAAACCTGTGTTTTCTGCGTTACTTTTTAAGCCATAATCAATTATTTTTCAGTATAGTTTCCTTATAGAATTTCTGGTTATCATTATTATTTTGTTTCTTTGAGACAGGGTTTCTCTGTGTAGCCCTGGCTGTCTTGGAACTTGCTTTGTAGACCAGGCTGGCCTTGAACTCACAGAGATCTGCCAGCCTCTCTGATACCGTGTGTGGCTTATTATAGTTTTATTGGGGTGCTGAAAGTGTAATCAAAGACCTCCCACATGCTAGATAAGAGCTCTCCCAAGCTGCACCCAATTCTTATTCTGGTTTACTGATTTTAATACTGTGTGATCAGAATTACAAGGTCAGACTTTGTCATTTGGCATCACAGTGTATATTTGACTTCACCAAAGATAAAATTGTAACCAGAGAAGTGTGACTGGGATTAAGCTCCCTTTCACATGATTGAAAGAAAATATTTAACATAATGAGGAAACATTAGTTTGAAGATAGCTTTTTTTAATGTATAAAAGATGATTTGAAAATAGAATATTGTAAGTATGTAACTACTAATGGAAGAAGATTGATGGGATAGGGAACTTGAAATTTAAAGCTCTTTTGTGCCATAGTTGATGGCTACTTTTCACTAGCTGAGTCAAGTTAATGTCATTTTCCCCTTTATCTATGTCCTATTACGCATTTTAGGAGTCAAACATATAGTAACTCTTATCAGAGTTTAACTCTGTGTAAATGTTTGAAGAAGCTGACCCCTTTCAGCTTAATGTTTTTAGTTGTAAACATTTTATGAGCGTTTTGCTTGACTGTGTGTCTGTGTACCATGTGTGTGTCTGGTGTGCACAGACCACCACGGATCCCCTGGAACTGGAGTTACACACGGTTGTTAGCCACCATGGGGGTGCTGGGAATCAAAGCTGGGTCCTTTGCCATTGCTTGTACCACTAAGCCATCTCTTCAGTTCCCTATTTTTCTTTTTGTTTTGGTGTTGGGATCAGTCCAGGGCTGTGAGCATCCTATGACTAGCTTCATCCCTAAGTCTTCTGACTCTTTTTAAATAAAGTATTTTTACCTTTCTGCATTACTGTGATAGAGTTTTATAACTGATTGGTAAAGGGCTAGAGAGATGGCTTACTGATGGAAAGGTCGTGCTGCTTTTTCAGATGTAGGTTGGATGTCCAACACTCATATGATGTTTTACATCACCTGTAATTCTAGGTGCAGGGGATTCTCTACCATCTTCTGACCTCTGTGGGCACCAGGCTCAAATGTGCTGCACAGCCATATATGCAGGCACAATACCCATCACAAAAAATAAAATAAAAAAAAAAATAGAAACAACGGAATGTGGAAAGCAGTTACTTCCATTTGGAATCCCTGGTTTTAAAAACCAGAAGAAAGTTTAGAGGTTAGTTACATACACATGAACCATTTTAACTTGTAGAAGTGAATTCATCATGATTATTTCAGAGCATTGCTGCAGCCCAATACAGTAAATCATCAGCTAATGTGTGCCTTCACCTTAAGGGGAAGAAAAACTTTGGGTTCTTTTATTATTCTTCCTGGTCTGGGAGATGGTTCAGTGGGTAAAAGCATTTCCTGCCAGACTTGACCACCTGTGTTGATCCTTGGGACCCACAGAGTGGAAGGAGAAAAGAGACTTCTAGAAGTTGACCTCTGACCTCCACCAATGCTCTACATTACAGTTGTTGTGTGAGAAGGCACATACATGTGTACACGTATGTGCACACACACTAAATAAATAAGTATAAAAGTAATAACAAGTAGCTCTTCTTTTTTTATTACTTCATTTTATTTGCATTGGTGTTGTGTTTCCATATATGTCTGTGTGAGGGTGTCAGATCCCCTGGAACTGGAGTTACAGGCAGTTGTGAGCTGCCATGTGAGTGTTGGGGTTTGAACCTGAATCCTTTGGAAGAAGAGCCAGTGCTCTTAACCGCTGAGCCATCCCTCTAGCCCTTTCTACAGGTTTTAAACTCCCATTGTTTTAATGAAAGCAGTAAAAATAGTTATCTCCTAGTCACATTTTTATCGCTATGAGAAGACACCATGACCAAGGAAACTTTTAAAAGAAAGAATTTACTTGGATAGGCTTCATTTTTAATGAAGATTTACCTAACTCTTAGTGGCAGTGTTTAGAACTTACAGCGGCAGGGGCCGTCCTTATTGCCATCTGTGTTGTTTCATGGAGGTGATTCCTGTTCACCGGTCATGTCCTAAGTGAAAGTTTACTCAAAATGACACCTTCCTGCCTTCCACAGGATGTGGAAATGGGCACACAGTAGGCATCCAAAAATGATCTTTTACTGTGTGCATGGTTTAGTATCTTAGACTCATGTGATTGCCTGTAAGTATAAAGAGATTTTGTGTCTGATTTTGTAGCACAGTGGTGTGCTGCTTGTTTAGAAAATGTCGGAAAGTCTTCCTGGAGTTCTTAAGTATAATGTAAAAGTCAAGAGCCCTGCTTAGCCTTCAGATGTTAGTTTGATGTTGTTTCACTTAGTCAATGTGCTCTTATTTTCTCTTGCTTCTAGACCAAGAGCAGTGATGACCTCTTAGCTGGAGTGGCTGGAGGAGTGAACGTGACCAATGGTGTCAAAGCTAAGAAAAGCACCTGTTCATCTGTGGCGCCTCCAGCACCTGCACCTGCCATGACCGTCGCGGAGAGCAAATCCAAGATCAGCACAGGTGTGGCTGTTACTCGATCTCATGTTATCTACCTGTTTGTGAGAGACTTCCCCTTACCTCTGCAAACTGCCACTTCTTCTTGCATTCCAGGTCACACTCCACTGTTCCTTTAATGGCCGTGTGGTCTGATTAACAAGAGGGAATGTTTCCGTCCTCCTTTTTAGAAGTGGTATTTTGTTTGATCCCCATTGCAGCTCTTGAAGTATAGACTAGACTCTCCTCATTGTAGCTATGAGGTAACTCTACTGAAGCTTAGCATAATAGTCTTGCCAAAGGCTATCCATTGGTTTACTTGATAGATGTTTCTTGGGAACTCATTTTGTTCTAGGCTTTATAAGATACAAATCTGGTGGTGGTACAAGGTTTGAACCTTCACTGTATCAAACCTGAGATCATCACATTTAATGTCCTCACAGGGCAAGGACCTTGAGATGAAATACTCTATCGACATCTCCTCTTTGTGGCTTCTGGACCTGAGCTAGGGGCCATTCCAACGTGCACATGTGGTTTTCTGTTGATGGTTACACCTGACGTCAGGATTCATTTATTACCTCCTAGGATTAGATACTCCAGTTCAGATTTGTATGTCTGTGTTAGTCTGCTAGTACACCATAATGAAATACCACAGACTAAAGCGTTTACACAACAAAAATTTACTTTATTATACTGTAGTTCATAAATCAAAGTATTGGCAGTTCTGTTTTCTCTCAAGGTCTCCTTGGCTTACATTTGGATACTTTGTCACTGTGTCCCTCTGCGTTTGTCCTACCCTCCTCTTCATAGACACAAATCACACCGGATAAAGTCCACCTGACAGTTTGTCTTAGTGTTTTATTGCTGTGAAGAGACACCATGATGACAGAAATTCTTATAAAAGAAAACATTTAATTGGGGCTGGCTTACAGTTTCAGAGGTTTAGTCCATTGTCAACATGGCAGGAAGCATGGCAGCATGAAGGCAGACTTGGTGCTGGAGAAGGAGCTGAGGGTTCTACATCTGGATCAGCAGACAGCAGGAAGAGAGAGACACTGGACCAAGCTTGGGCTTTTGAGACCTCAAAGCCCTCCCCAAGTGACAAGCTTCCTCCAACAAGGCCACACATCCTGATAGTACCATTCCCTAAACACTTAAATATAGGGGCTATTTTCTTTCATTCATTCATTCATTCATTCATTCATTCATTCATTCATTCATTTTGAGACAGGGTTTCTCCGTGTAGCCTTGGCTGCCCTGAACTTGCTTTGTAGACTAGGCTGCTCTCGAACTCGCAGAGCTCTGCCTGCCTCTGCCTCCTCAAGTGCTGGGATTACAGACATATGGGGGCCATTTTTATTCAAACCACCACGCAGCTCCATCTGAATTTAATTGGCTAAATCAGTTACTCTGTCTGCAAATACAGTCATATTCTAGGGACCAGGGCTTTAATATGTACCTTTCGGGGGGGTCATGGTTCAGCCTCAGCAGCATCCTTATTCTTCAGTTCATTGGCTGTCTCTCTTCCTGAGGATGACCCCAAGGCTGTTTGATTTTAGTGGCCAAGCCAGGCCGCTCATCTGATTTGAGTTCTTCTGCCTGCTCAGTTCAGCTGGCAAGGTTGCTGCTCTTTTTGTCTGTTCCTCTTCGTATCTTTCTCATTCCTCACCTTGGTTGAGGTGGTCAACCACCTCATGGCTTGGTTGGTCCTTGCCTTCCTCTTTTTTTTTTTTTTTAATAAAAAGGGCCTTTGGTGTTGATAAGAATGATGGTACCACATCCTAATTTAATACCATCCTTTTCCTCTTTGGTTATCCATTTGTATTTGTTTCACCGTCCCTTTTCCTCAGCTTTTGAAAAGGAACAAGCCTTTGTCTCACTTCGTTACTGTTGTCATTGTCAAGCATAGGCTGCTTCCTTTCTCACCAGTTCCTAGAACATCTTTGTATCAGTCAGGGTTTTCTAAAGAAGCATAATTGATAGAATGAACGTATAGAAATAATACAATATAATATAAACATGTATTGTATTGTGCTGTATTGTAAAAGGGGATTTATTTGTGTGGCTTAAAGGCTGTGCTCTGGGTAGTCCGACCATGGCTGTCTCCCGGTGGAAAGGCCAAGAATCCAGTAGTTGTTCAGTGTACAAGGTTAGATGTGTCAGCAGTCTCAGTCTGGTGCTGGAGTCCTCAAGACTGTGTTTGAATCCTGAAATAGTAGGTTCTAATACCAGTCTTGGCAACAGGATAGATGAACTTGCCAGAGCAAGTGAGTGCAAGGAGGCAAAAGGCAAAAGCTTCCATCAGAGGTGTGGCCCACCTCGAATGGTCCAGTCAAGAAAATCTTTAATAGGTGTATCCAATTAGTTGGGTTTTAGTTGATTTCAGATGGAGTCATCTTCACAATCAGGGTTAGCTGTAAGAGTCTTCTAAATTAATTTCCACAAACATTCCCTTTTCCTTACTTCTTTCTTGCTCAAGAATCCTTACTGTCTTGCAGGGACTCCTGAACTCAGCCAATATCCAGGCTTCTGTAGAAACACTCCCCGGAAACACTTGTTAACTGTTTATCTTAACCTTTCTGTGTGCCATGCTCACTTCTGCTTTGTCGTCTGTGTCTTGTGACCAGCCTGACTTCTTTCTTCTCTCCGCTGGTTCTGCTCTGAAACGGATGAGGGAAGATTCTTGTCAATGAGTGGCTCTACAGCCTATAACTTAGCCTCCAGGCAGTATTGCCTCTTTTTTTTTTTTTTATTATTTTTTTTAAGTGTGCTATACACATTAATTAAAATCGTTGAACAGAATCTACTTTCAGGGAAGAGGTTTGAAATACAGCCTTAGTGTCTTGCCCCAACTAGCCTGGAACTATGTCAAATCCTCCTGCCTCTGTGTCTGCCTCCAGAGTATTCAGATTACAGGCATATACTACCATATCCAGTATGGGCATTTTTTCTTAACTGCTCATATTTTAAACCTTTGAAAACAACTGGTACAATCATTTTGCTAGAGGCAAAGGAAATAGGAAAAACATATAAACAGCAAAACCTAGATCTGATTGCGTGGTCCTGTGTCCTCCCACTCTCATGCCCTCCTGGGGACTGAATGAAAGGCCCAGGACATGCTGAACACAGACTCCACTGTTCACCTGCAGCTCCAGTCCTCTCTCTTTTAGTTTGAGGCAGGCTGTCACTGAGTTGTCCTGCTGGCCTTGAGTGGATTCTGTTTCACAGGCTGGCCTTGAGGTTGTGCTCTTATTGCCTTAACTTCAGAAGTAGTGTGGTTTGCAATCTGCATACCACCAAGGCCAAATAATAAATATATTTTTAAAGAGCTGCCAGTTTATGTAGTGGACTGCAAGGCTGTAGAGGTAATGAAGGACTTTGTGATAGAGGAAAATGTTTACCTGTGGGCTGTTGGGGTGTTCTGTAGCAACTCTGCAGCTATAAAATGAAATGAAGATATCATTTACCTCAAAGTTTTGATGAGTCTTGTGTAAGTTAATGTCTGTAAACTTATCTTTTCTCCTTAGTTCTAGTGATTGAACCCAGAGCCTTGCACGTGTATATAGACGCCCTGCTTCCCTTCTAGCTCTGAAGCTTTGCTGTGTGTTCTTGGAGAAAACCCAAAAGTTCTAGTTACTCTTCAGAACTTTTGTTACTACTTATCTGGCATTTTGTGATGGGAAACTTGTCTGCATTTACTTTGGTTATCATTTTTCTGTTTCTTGTAGGTTGCTTAGACTTTTAGTTTATTCTGAGGCTGGCTTTCCTGTCATGCTTATCTGTGATCTCCCTCCACTTTGTCGTCTGTAGTTAATCATCTGACTGGTTGATCGTAGAGTCATCCTGACTGACTTGCTCTGGAGTATTGCATTCCGGACAGTGTTCAGGTCCTACTCTTGTCTCTGAGTTACTGTGCATATCCTCTTAACAGCTTTATTGAGATACAGTTCATGTTTCATAACATTTACCCTTCTAATATATAAAATTAACTGCATGGCTTTTGATTCATTCTTTATAAAAAGATGATCTCCTGGTTTCAAGGAGACTGGCTTTGGAGATGACCAATTTCTAGCCTGTGTCAGTATTGCAGTTCAGCTTTAACCTCGAGTAGTCCTGGGCTCTAAACACATGCAATTTTGTTGCTAAGTTTTGTCTTAAATTCTTTGTTTTGAACATGTAGGCACTAGTTCCTCAGCCAAACGGAGTACTTCCGCTGGTAATAAAGAATCCAGTTCTACTAGAGAAAGATTGCGTGAACGCACCCGGCTAAACCAGAGCAAGAAACTGCCCTCTGTAAGTCAGGGACCTAATGATGTGGCATTGGCCAAGCGTTCGCGAAGCCGCACTGCTGCAGAGTGCGACGTTCGAATGAGCAAGTCTAAGTCGGACAATCAGATCAGCGACAAAGCTGCTTTGGAAGCCAAGGTGAAAGATCTCCTCACCCTGGCCAAAACCAAGGATGTGGAAATTTTACATTTGAGAAACGAGCTCCGAGACATGCGTGCTCAGCTGGGCATTAGAGAAGATCGCTGTGAAGGTGATGGCAAGTCCGAGGAGAAGGAAGCCATTATTGCCCACCATCCGACTGATGTGGAGTCTACTCTGCTGCAGCTGCAGGAACAGAACACAGCCATCCGCGAGGAGCTCAACCAGCTAAAAAATGAAAACAGAATGCTAAAGGACAGGTTGAATGCACTGGGCTTTTCCCTAGAGCAGAGGCTGGACAATTCTGAAAAACTATTTGGCTATCAGTCCCTGAGCCCAGAAATTACCCCTGGCAACCAGAGTGATGGAGGAGGAACTCTGACATCTTCAGTAGAAGGTTCTGCCCCTGGCTCAGTGGAGGATCTCCTGAGCCAGGATGAGAATACGCTCATGGACCATCAGCACAGTAACTCCATGGATAACCTGGACAGTGAGTGCAGCGAGGTTTACCAGCCCCTCACTTCCAGTGATGATGCTCTGGACGCCCCCTCCTCTTCAGAGTCAGAGGGCGTCCCGAGCATAGAGCGCTCTCGGAAGGGGAGCAGTGGGAATGCGAGCGAAGTGTCTGTTGCTTGCCTCACAGAGCGGATTCACCAGATGGAAGAGAACCAGCACAGCACCAGTGAGGAGCTGCAGGCAACACTGCAGGAGCTCGCCGATCTCCAGCAGATTACCCAGGAGCTCAACAGTGAGAATGAGAGGCTGGGCGAGGAGAAGGTCATCCTGATGGAGTCGCTGTGTCAGCAGAGTGATAAGTTGGAGCACTTTGGCAGACAGATTGAATATTTCCGTTCCCTTCTAGACGAGCATCACATTTCTTATGTCATAGACGAAGATGTGAAGAGTGGGCGCTACATGGAACTGGAGCAGCGCTACATGGATTTAGCTGAGAATGCCCGCTTTGAGCGAGAGCAGCTTCTAGGTGTCCAGCAGCACTTAAGCAACACTTTGAAGATGGCAGAGCAAGACAACAAGGAAGCTCAGGAAATGATAGGTGCCCTCAAAGAGCGTGGCCACCACATGGAGCGGATCATTGAGTCCGAGCAGAAGGGCAAAGCAGCCCTGGCAGCCACGTTAGAGGAGTACAAAGCTACCGTGGCTAGCGACCAGATAGAGATGAATCGCTTGAAGGCTCAGCTGGAGAACGAGAAGCAGAAAGTGGCTGAGTTGTATTCTATCCATAACTCTGGAGACAAATCTGATATCCAGGATCTCCTGGAGAGTGTCAGGTTGGACAAGGAAAAGGCAGAGACCTTGGCCAGTAGCCTGCAGGAAGATCTGGCTCATACCCGAAACGATGCCAATCGGTTACAGGACACCATTGCTAAGGTATTGCCCAAGTAAAGACTCGTTCTCCTTCAGCTTATATGGCTGCCCTTTATAGAGTGTGCTTGTTGAAGACACGCGTGCTTGTTCAGTGTGACACTGCCTTTTATTGGAAGTCATTCTCAGTTTTAAAATAGAGTAGAAAGTTTTCTTATAATATTGTCATTTTCACTCATTTTTCAGTGAATTCATGCACCCAGAATTCATCTTGAGTAATAGATAATTTTATGTCCTCATCTTTAATATACTGTGGCTTAAGGTAGATGCTGTCAGAATTTCAATTTTCCAGAATTGACAATGTCTGCCACCTTTTTCCTGTTACAGTTGTTTATTTTTTTTTTCAACTAGCATTTTATTGTGAGTTAATTCTAGTTTAGAGTACAGCTGCTCCTGTTTTTTGGGGGTGTAAGGTTTATTGCTGGCAGAGAGCTTAGCGATGATCCCTTCCGACCCTCATTTCACAGATATCTCATCTAAGAGTGAAGACTCAGGATGGCTGATTGGGTTGTTGGCATTCTGTTCAGAGTTCGTTATCTTGAGTGATTGTTGGAGTGAGTGTTTTGTGCAGGTTACCTATTTATTGAATCCACACTCTGTATCCTCTTAAAATGTGTGCGTGTTAATTTATGCATGTGTGTGTGCGTGTGCCCACGGAGGCCAGAAGAGGTGTTGGCTCCCTCGAAGCTACAGCTACAGGCTGTTGTTGAGATGCCTGACATGGGAGCTGGGAACTGAATGAACTAGGGTTGTCTAGACGAGCAGGAAGTACTCTGGACTGCTGGGTATCTCCCCCGTCCAAGTACAGTGAGTGTTGAAGGGAGAAGTTTTAGTGCATCTTTGGTTAAAACTTCAGTGACTTATGTTTTAACTATTTTAATGATTCCTTAAAAAAACCTTCTCGTTAGTTTCAGGTGGGGGAGGGAGTACATTATACATGCATGATGGGGGCATGACAGTCAGGACAATTTGTGGGAGTTGGCTTTTAACTATCATGTGAGTTCTAAGGATTGACTCGGGTCATCAGTTTTGGCAGCAAGTGCCTTTACCTCCTGAGCCACGTTGCCAGTCTTTAGCGACCACCTTAGAGAGAGGATTTAGGCGAATGCATGTTAAGGGGCACTGTGGACTAGTACTTTGATAAAGACTATTTGAAGTGAGAAGTTTATATTTTACTTAGTTTTGTATGTATATACTGTGTCTGTGTGTCTGTGCTATGAGTCATGTGAGGAGGTCGGAGGATGACCTGGAGTCTGTTCTCTCCTTCCACCATGTGGGTTCTGGGGATTAAACTCAGGTCCTCTGGCTTGGCAGCAAACACCTTTACCTGCTGAGCCATCTTGCTAGCCTTAAATTTTTTTATGGTTTCATATTTGATTTTATTTTTTTCTGTCATAAATACAGCAGTTTATTTTGTAGGAGAGCGGGCAGCATGTCACTCATTCATCAGATGCACACTTTCAGCTCAGACTTTGGAGAAGACAAAATGTCTCCAAAATGCCCATAAATAATATGACTAGGTTCAGTGATGCATGCGTGTTAAGTGGGTGATGCAGAGGCTTGTGCTCAGACAGCTCAGGAAATCCTGCAGTGCTGTTCCCCATGTTGTAACAGTGCGTGGCCAGGTTGTCGGTCTGCCTATAGCTGCTCGCACTTATCTGTGGTGTCGAAGGTAACTACTTTGGTTGCAGAGTTTATCTTAAAACAACTCTCCCTTTAATTGCTGCCGTTTCTCTAGGTAGAAGATGAGTACCGGTCTTTCCAGGAAGAAGCCAAGAAACAGATTGAAGATTTGAATATGACATTAGAAAAATTGAGATCAGAGCTAGAGGAAAAGGACACCGAAAGGAGTGACATGAAGGAAACTATCTTCGAACTTGAAGATGAAGTAGAACAACATCGAGCTGTGAAGCTTCATGACAACCTCATTATTTCTGATTTAGAGAGTGAGTAACAAAGGGCGCGCATTTTCTTTCTGGTCACCCTTCTGTGTGCTTGTGTTTAGTAGCAAAAATAATAATTCTGACTCGCACGTAGTCTGGACAGAGTAGCACAGTTGACTTACAGAAGTGCATGTGGACAGAAGTGGGCTTCACACATTGTTTGGGAAACTGGGTCACTATGTTTTGTTCTCAGTTGTTCAGTAGAAGCATTAATTGAAAATTAATTAAGCAAAATCATGTCAGTAAAAAGCTAATGAGGTCATTTATTTTCTAGACCTTAAGAAAAGTCATTTATTCATGTTTAGTGATTGCAGGTGAACAGAGTCAAAACAAACAAACAACCCCCCAAAACACTAATCCTGTAGCATCCTGATCATGGAACACAGGTTTGGTTTTGTTTTTTAATGGTTTTTCAAGACAAGACTTTTCTGTGTAGCCTTGGCTGTCCTGGACTCATTTTGTAGACCAGGCTGGCATCAAACTCAGGGAGATCTGCCTGCCTCTGCCTTCCTGAGTGCTGGGATTACAGGCGTGTGCTGCCATGCCTGGTGTTTTTTTGTTTTTGTTTTTGTTTTTAAATTTATTTGATTTTTCTTATTACTCTGAAGATTTTGTATTATGGTAAAATGAAACCTCCATTTAAAAGTTTCATTGTACATTGCATGAATAGATTTTTAAACTTTATTTTGTAGTTACTTTGGATTTATAAGAAAGTTGAGACATCAGATGTTAATTTGAACCTAATTAATTTTTTCATGAGTTGTTTATTAGTTACAAGCAAGAAAAAGGGAAAAAAGCAGCTTCTTATGCAGTGGGGAACGTTGAGCAGTACTTTGGGTTTTCACGTGGGTGAGAGAGGCATGCAGTACTAGGCAGAGCGCAGACGAGCTCTGTTCTGACTGAGGCATATACTAATCACAGGAAACCTTAGGCAGACAAAATGAAGTGTGTTCTGGTAGCAGAGGTGTGGACGGTGCTGCAGCCCTAAAAGCATTAGTGTCATGGAAAAGAAAGGCTATCGCAGTGTCCCAGATGGAAGAAGACTCAGGAGACGTGGTAATTAGAGGTAATGTCCATGTCTAGACAGGTCCATCACTGCAGGGGAAAATGATACAAAGGTACTAATCAAAAGTTGAGCTGTGGCCTAAAGATTAAAGATTTGCTAATAATACATTTGGGAAGTTGATAATTATACTGTGTTTACCTAAATTATCCCTGTTCTTAGAAACCATACACTGAGCTTTTCAGGTGAAGGGCTGTGATTACCATGCCCCCAAGGAGTTCTGGGGAAAACTTAGATTGATGGGTAGATACAGAAATAAGTAATGGCAGTTGATAGAACAAATGAGTTGTGGTACTACTGCCTTCCCCCTGAACTCCCAATTCTGGAGGTGAAGCTCAGCAGCAGGTAACTTTCACGTAGTTATGGCTGAACTCTGTCCTCGCTTTTATGTACTTTTATATTGCTGTTTCATATTGCAAACCTGGAGACAGACAAAGGGAATGGAGTAGCCTTTTCTGACACATTAGGTAAAGCCTTTCAAATTATCGGGTGTGTACATATTCCTCTGGGCACTTGTCAGTTTTTGATTCCTTAGCAGAGCATTGACTAGCAGATGCAGCACTGGCATCCTGGTAGGTTAACGGGCATCTGAGATACTGTCTAAGAAGAGCAGGGCATTTGTGGAGGATCTCCGGATATAACTTGGGAATTCTGAGCTCTGGCTAGCTGACCTGCATCTGTGCGTTGACATTCTGAGGCCTTGATACCGAAATAGTCAATGGAGGGACTGAATCTGTTTGAGAAGACTGCCAGGAAATTTCTCATCTACAACTTAAAAATCCTTTGAACTGATCTTAGTGACTCATCTGTTGTCCAGTGCTCAGCAATGGTTGACACTCTAGTCAGCCTCTGCATTAAGTCTTCTCCGAGAGCCAAAATAAAATAAAATAAACCAATAAAATAAAAGACCTTTCAAGCATTTATATTTAGTTAAAAGACACAGTTTTACTTCCTAAATTGTGTCTATGTGTGCATGTCTGTGTGTGTGTCTCAGCATATGTGAGTTTAGATGTCCAAGGCGTGCAGAGGCGGGTGTTGGAACACTGAGCTGGACAACCAGGTGGCTGCGAGCAGCCTGACTGGGGCCAAATGAGGCTTCTGGAAGAACAGCAAGCAATCCGAGCATCTCTCTGGCCCTGGAATTAGTTTGTGTTTTATGTTTGAGAGAATTTATTTAATTCTGCTCCTTTTTATTATCTATTTTAAAGTTTTTATTAGCATATATTTTACATAAGTGTAAAATATTTATTTAGACACTGTGTGTCTAATATATTTTGATTATAACCACCTCATTCTATCGTCTGTCTCCTGCTGATCCCCTCCTCTTAGCTAGTCTTCGTGTGTGTGAACCAGTGAGTTTCATTAGGGTTACTTGTAAGAATGTGAGTAGGATTTTTAAAAATTAGGGTTATTTACAGGCACGTAGGCAAGTCACCAATGGTCACACCACTGGAAAAAAACAATGCCCCCATTCCCCAGTCCCAGCAGCTTATAGAACCTCCGAGAGAGGCGGGGTAGTTTGTCTTCTTCCGTGAGTAACTTTGGGAGTTCAGTGCCCCATTGAGTACTGGTGCTGCCTGTTTTCTCATGCAGTGTTTTTGATTTTGAGCAAGAGAAGAGTGACATCTTGTGGTGACTGGGACATTAGCTAGGAAAATGTTAGGCGATGAAGATTCTGGGAGCAAAACTACAAATCATTCATTTTCCATATATGAAATTTAACTAGACACTAACTAAAAACTCTGAGTGATTAAAAAACCTAAATAGCTTCTTTCCAGACTTTTTGAGAAAAAGTTAAATATGCATTAATATCAGACAAATAATTATTAGCATTTATATTGTCTCTCTGTGTATGTTGAACTCCTTAAGTTCCAACCCTGTGACATTTAATTCTTAAATATTTCAACATGTGATTCCTGAGATTCTCTTGAGCACATCTAGTAAAATTATTTTGTTTCCTGGTATCAACTAAGCCCATAATTAGAATTCTCCAGCTGTCATCAATTTTTTTATAGCTTTATTTACTCATAACTTTTAGTAACTTTTTTACAGTGCACAGATTGATTCCAGGAGCTCATGAAGCTAGGTAGGCTTTCTGCCAGCTCTGTGTCTTCATTTGCTCGGGCTTTATTTAACTCAGACCAGCTTCAAACTTTTACCACTTTCCGCAGTTCTGGGATTATAGATTTATGCTCCCACACTCTTGCTTTCTCCACATCCCTCCTCCCCTTCTCTGTCTCCTAAATAATAGTCAGTGTCTATACAAATTTTATACTTACATTACATCTCTGGAGTTTGATGGCAGTTACTTTGTCTCTGGAGTTTGATGACACTTATTTTTTTTTCCTCTAGAAAATTCTCACATTTGAAGTTAACTTAGTACATGATACATGATTTTAATAACAAGGAATATTGTTATTTTAGAAAACAAGATATCCTCTGTGGATTTTTTTTTTTTTTTTTGTCTGTTTGTTTTGTTTCTTGAGATAGGCTTTCTTTGTGTGCCCTTGGCTGTCCTGGAACTCTTGCTCTGTAGACCAGGCTGACCTCAAACTTAAAAGAGATCCACCTGCCTCTGCCTCCCAAGTGCTGGGATTAAAGGTGTGCACCACCACCACCACCAGGCAGTTGAATATTTTAACAAGCATCACCACAAGTCAATTTTAGAATCTGTTCATCAGCCCCCAAATAAGTCTTGTATTCAATAGTAGTCGCTCCTTAGTCAACTCAAGATAAATTCCTGAGCTTAAAATTGTTACGTAGGATTTTACAACAGTTCCTGGGCTCAGAATGTACAGTCATTTAAACAACAAGCCAAAGGAACAGAGAAATGAACTAGAGGATTGATCAGTAGTCATTCTGTAGTCTGAGGCAGAGGGGAAAATAGTTAAAGTAAGTGAATAGAGATTAGTGACCTGTGAAATAATTTCAAATTTATAATACAGTTAGAGACTTCCAGGTCATATCGCCATCAACCATGCATACCTGGCCTTCATGCTCTCGGCCATGGTCCTAACATCTAAGCCTGGAAGATGTGGTGTCAGCTCAGAACTTCCCTGTTCAGAACATGGCTTCAGATAACTGTCTTTTTCCTTTCTCTAAAAGAAGATTATGAATGAGGTTTAAAAGCCTCAGTGACACTAATGCTGAGATACAAAACAGTTGGCTTGTGCTAGTGGATCAATAATTTTGAGTAATTTCTGAAGTATAGAGAGCAGATAGAATCAAGTATGAAGAAAAACCTACTGTCTGGGAGAACAGTGAAACTCAGAGTAAAGATGTTTTCAGCAAGCTTTGGGTGGAAGCATACTAAAACCGCCTGCTCAGGCTGGGCACTACCCTGAGGTCACCAACTTAACTGTGTATTTGTTTCTGAGCTCAGATTCTTCTGGGTAAAAGAGTAGAACAGGGTGCCAGGACTCTTCAAATGACCTTGGTGTCAGAAAGGAAAGTGTGCGGAGCCTGCAGAACTACAGGCTCCCCACCAGGTGGTCTAGGAGAGAGCCATGTGGAGGGAAAAGCAGTTTGTTGACCCTGCTGTGAAGTGGGCGCACCAACCCAGCACTTTGGTTGGAGTTGATGTTGTCATCAACAGAGTCTTCACTGGTTGCTGTGCCAGGAGTGAGAAGCTTGTGGTTAGAGCAGTGAGTCCTGCAGTTGTTAAGAAATTTACATTTGAGGCCAGCCTGGTCCTCAAAGCTGGTCTAGAACAGCTAGGGCTACACACAGAAACTCTGTCAAAGAAAAGCTTACAAAAGGTGTCCATTCTGTGGACTGTGTCCATAGAAACAGCATTTGCAGATGTGTTTGGGTGCTTGCTGAAGCACTGCTTCTCATTGCTAACTTTGAAAATAGTCTGCTCTATATTTTTTAAAGATTTATTTTGTTTTATGTATGTGAGTTTTTTGCCTGCATGTAAGTGCACTGTGAGTGTCTTGTGCCCTCAGAGACCAGAAGAGGGGCAGAATCTCCTGGAACTGGGCTATGGGTGGTTCTAAGCTACCATGTGGGTTCTAGGAACTGAACCTGGATCCTCTGGAAGAGCAGCCAGTGCTCTTAACTGCTGAGCCATCTCTCCAGTCCTACAGTTTACATTTTGATAGTTATGATCTAGTGAATAGCTAATGTTCAGTGTGAGTGCCCCCGTTCTCGCTCCCATTTTGCCAGTGAGCCTGAAAACGGCAGATCTGAGTACATTGGCTGGAAAATGAAACAAAACCAGCCACCATGCACTTAAATAATTTAGAACCACTCAGCGTTTCAAATGTCACATGACATGGAAATGTAGCCAGACACAGAGCATTCCTTTTTAAAATGCTAATTTTATTGTACTCTATTAAACCATAGGTAAATTGGTGACTTTTCAAAAAGGAAAAAAAAAAAAAAAAAAAAAGAAAACCACTCAAGAAACTAACAGTGTTGTTGAGGTAGACCGTTCTGGTGTGCACTGAATTACCTCATGTTGCTATTTGCAAGTGGCCTCCATCATCTCTACTTTTGGAACTCTCCTCCACACAATAGCCGAACAATTGTGGAAAGACATTTGCTCTATTTATAACAAAGATCGGAACTGTGTTAACTCTGTTGAAAGGAGGTTCTGGAAGCACATTCCGAGATGTTGCACTGATGCAGTACTCTGGGGCCATCTAGATGGTGCTTCACATCTGGGTTTATGATAATGGATTCCAGTTTTGCTACAGGCTTATGGAGCAGTACAAATACAATCTTGTTATGCTTAAAAAAGAAAAAGATCGCCATGTGTTGTAGTGCTTCTCTAGTTCCCTATAGTGGGTCGCTGAGGTAGGAAGGATACCTTGAGCCTCTGCAGGAATTTAAGGCCTGCTTGGGCAACACAGCAAGACCAAGTTCAAACAGAAAAGCAAACCAAAATGATACACATTCAGGAATCTAGAAGGATGTGAGTCAAATGCAAATAAAAGTAATCCTATTCTGTTACAATTTCTGTTTCTAAAATCATTTTATACCTTACTTTTAGAGTTAAGAATAAAAGGTGTTATAACCACTTTTTTTTTTTTTTTTTTAAGAGGAGGGAAGAATAAAGATTTGAGCAAAATTTAAAAATAAAGTAAAGCTGTATATAGTTCATTTGAAAGTCGTTTATGTCTTCTAGGCTCTGTGCACGTTCCGATGGCTTTTAACAGATTACTGTTGCCTTTTCCTTTCCTCTGAAGAGAACACTTATTTCATTCTCTGGGAAATGCTGGACCACATAGAGCAACCAGTAGAAGTGCCCAAGAGCCTCTTGGGCATTAGAGGCCAGGAAGGTGGTTGTGGGCGATTTTAGTAAGTCATCAAGAGCACCATAGCCAAAGTCTGGGCCCGTGGAAACTGCTCAGTTACATCTGCATGATTGGTGGGCATATAACCAGAGCTGGCACTGCTGACTTGCAAGGGACAACAGGTCACTGGTGAAGCGACAACTGTGAAGCCCATTACTAAACAGGAAGGACAGGGTCCAGAATTTTTCAGAAGAAAGTGCGATGGACTAATAATGTGACAGCAATTTGTTTGATTTCTAGAATAAAAATAGCACTGTAAAAATCAAGGTTTACTCAGTAATTTAAAAGCAAGGAGATCCTAGTTCTGGTTTTTTAGAGTTTGAACTGAAGACAGTAGGTGGCAGTGTCGCTCACACTAGGAAAACTATAGGGGTGATACTTCCTCTTGTGAGACCGTCATTGTGCTGGGTAGCAGTAGTCACTAAAAAAAAGCTTAAATAGAAAATTCTCCGATCTTGGGGAGGAAAAGCATGTTGCCGCTTTTTAACTTTTTATCTCAGAGGAAAAGTACAAACATGATCATAAAGTTTAAATCACATCCCCAAAGACCTGTTTAGCACACTTTATGCTATACATCTTCTGTCTGACAGCTTTCCTTTATTTAAAAGGAATAATAACAGGACAGTCAGTAATTCATGTGTCGTACCAGTCTTGTTAAGATTGAGTGTGTGAAGTCTGTGGATATGAACGTAGAGGTCAATGAGGAAAAGACTGGAAGAACAAAGGAGCTGATGAAGTTAGAATTTTATAACCAGTTTAAGATGGGCATAGCGGGTAAATGTGCCACACGAATCAGGGTGGCCAAGTGAGAAAAGTGAGTTCTAAGACAGTTGGCTATCTTGTGAATTAAATCTGAAGATGTCTTTTGTGATCAGAAGAAAAGGAAAACAAGCTTTTAGAGTTTAATTTTGTTTTATGTATATGAGTATTTACCTGTGTTTATGTGTCTCCGATACCTTAGAGCTGGGGGTTACAGACAGTTGTAGGGTACCATATGAGTGCTAGGAATTGAACCTGGGTCATTTGGAAGACTAGCCTTAGTTTTAGCCACTAGCTCTTAACCACTGACCCAATTCTCTAGTCCCCTAAGAAACAATTTTTGGGCAATTTTAAGAGAAAATTTTTGTTTATGTGAGCTGACAAGGAGCCAGAGCTGCTGACTGCAGAGTCACCCTTGTTTCTGTCAGCAGGGCCATGTACCTGTCCACCCTCATAGCAGAGAACAGGGCCCTGGAACTGTCCACTCTCATTGTGTTCACCTTGCCCTGACTGGACTGTGTGGTCTGTCCAACCCTTGGTTTCTAGGTTAAAGGAGGTTTGGTATAGCTTTCACATGAGACAGCCTGTAAAATTTAATCTTTTGAGGAGAAGTCATCCTGACTTCCTCAGAGCTTTAACTATTTTTTAATCTTGAAGAAGGTGGAAACTATATTTCTTTTTAAAAAAAAAAAACAAAAAAACTTCATTATCTGGAAAATAACTTGATTCACAGTTATACTTACAAGATTGTTGAATTAATGAAAAAATTTGGACACTTTTTTTTCCCATGGGCCCTGACTTCACTAAACAATTTTGGGGCCGTGTCTCCGAGTGAAGACATTAACTATTGGCTGCCAAATTAGACTGTCCCTTCATTCCATTTTATCTCCTTGGATTCTGTTTCCTCTTTATTTTGCCTCACTTTATCCAACTTTAGAAAATCTTATGTGCTTTTAACAATAGTTTATGCTAATATGTTATTACTGAAATTACTTGGTATCATTTTTGAAATGTCATGGGCTCATGAGAGAAGTGTTTGCAGTGCTAGCCTGATTAACTTGAGTTCATTCCTGGAACCCATAGAGGAAGTGAACCAACTCTGATGGTGACCTCTGACCTGTACACCTGTGTACACTTAAGTTCACAATCTCTCTCATTTTCTCTCTCTCTCATACACACATGCACACACACACAGGTTTTTAAAAAGCTGAATGTGGTGGCACATACCTTTAATCCCAGCATTTGGGAGGCAGGTAGGTGGGTCTCCACGTCTCTGTGAGTTGGAGGCCAGTCTGGTCCACATAATGAGTTCTGAGACAGCCAAGATCACATAGTGAGCACAGTGAGATCTTGTCCCAAAAATAAACAGACAGACGGATTAAAGAACTTCTTCATGGCTCAGCATGTAGTTCGGTGGTTGAAAATATATGTATAGCATTTATGAATCCCTGGATTTGAAAGATTAATTTATTTTTTATGTTTACGTGGGAGGAGGAGGAAAGAATTGTGAATGAGAATGGAGAGGGAACTGTAGCATCAATAGGCAAAATCTTTTTAGAGGATTATTTCCATAAGTGCCTTTCCTGGTGCATAACCGAGAAGTGATTTATTTCTGAGCTGTCAGAAGAACACGTGTGACAGATGTCTAGGACAGTTAGAATATGGTGCCCTCCTTAGGCCATTCTCTCTGTGCATGGCTTCAGGCAGAGCTTCCGTCCTACAGAATGTGATTGCCTATTGTATTTATTGCTAGTAAATTGGTAGCTCTCTGGATGTTACAATCACTTTTCTGGACTTTATCCCAGCATGTAAAGGGAATTATACTTACAATGTTTATAGCGATAAGTCCTGTGATTAAAAGTTGACATTTAATAGCAGTCAGTGTTGTTTTGATTGGCTTTGTGCCAATATATATGTTTCTAACAATTGCTTTCAGTTTACTTAGGAAGTGATGCAGAAACTATACCTTGGATTGAATTTTTTTTTTATGCTTTTAAGTTTTGTGATGAAAGTAAGCAAGTCTTTTGCACAGGAAACCTATTTTGATGATCATATTTTAACACCTCTTTTAATGTCCTTTCTTTTCAACACTTAAGATTGTTAAGAACTTTAGGTTTAAGAAGAAATATTTGATCTTTGTGGTCTTTTTAGATACAGTTAAAAAACTGCAAGACCAAAAGCATGACATGGAAAGAGAAATCAAGACCCTTCACAGGAGACTTCGGGTAGGATGATCCTCATGTGCTGTCTCATTGGGAAACATGGTTTTCTGGAATTTGCTACTTTAATCTGTGGATAAAGTGGGATGTTGGCCACATTGGGCTTTGGGCTGAAAGCAAGTGTGGTTATGTTAAGTTGGGATTGATACTGCATTTAAGATAGGAGAGTATACTGGTAGTGATTTATGGGTAGTAATTTTAAGATGTACTAAGGAAATGTGTTATATTTTGAAAAGAAAGTTACTAACTTTTTATTTTAAAATCACAAACAAGGCTGTGTTTAGGTGAGATTTCTCTATTTTCTGGGTTGACGTGGCTGCCAGCGTCCATGCTGCTAGGATGTGGAGGGGAGAGTGCTGATCTTAGCCCCCGAGTCCTGGCACTGCTGTTCTGGCTGCTTTCATGATATCAGAAAATCACTTTGAGGGTGAGAGGGCTCAGGCGAGGCTCAGGCGAGGCCCAGCTGTGGCTCTGGGGGAAGTGAATTCCCGGGGGGAGGCCTCTCCGCCCAGCCACACCCGCATCCTTCTTGTCTGTGGGAAGCGGCAGGCCACTCAGTTCCTTATGCCTCTTTGTATGATTGTGTCTGCCTGCACCGAGTTCAGTTTTTCTTCTGGCTTCCTCTTCCTTTTCCTTTACTTTAGTTGTTTTTTTTTTTTTTTTTTTCTTCCCTGCTATGTTTTTATTTCCCGTGTTTTTTTTTTTTTTTGGTTTTCTCTTCCTTTTCCTTTTTTTTTTTTTTTTTTTTTTTTTTTTTTTTCTTCCCTGCTAGGTTTTGATGTCCAGGGTATTTATAGTTTTTCACTGTATGGTTCACATACCATTTATATACCTTCTTGAGAGTTTCGGAGGTACTAAATTTTTGATGATATTTATTTTCATAAGACTTGCTTTGAAACTTGCATGAGGAAAGGAAGTCTAGCATTTTTTTGTCATTAATATTTATTGAGCACTCGGAGTACTTGATGCCTCAGTATGAAGATCAGATGACAAATCTTTCCCTCGTTAAGAACAAGTTCACTGATAAGAGTTGCTTTGTCTGTTAAAAATAGATACCAGCAACACTTGGCTTTAAGAAAGGTCATTTCAGAACATGACATGTTAGAGCATGCTAATCATAAACAAAATTTTATTGCTTATACGTAAATCTTCCTTGCTCTCTTTTGGAAATAAAAATTTAGTTTTTCAATGTAGGAAGAGTCTGCGGAATGGCGGCAGTTTCAGGCTGATCTCCAGACCGCAGTGGTTATTGCCAATGACATCAAATCTGAAGCCCAAGAGGAGATCGGTGATCTAAAGCGGCGGCTACATGAAACCCAAGAGAAAAATGAGAAGCTCACGAAAGAACTGGAGGAAATCAAGTCACGCAAGTATGTTCTGAGTTGAGTGTGTGTTCCAGCAAAGAACAGTGATGTGCCGCTGTTGCTGTTTTTCGTCCTGCCCCTAACTCGGAAGCCCTCTCACTTCTCTTCAGACTGGAGGTCTAGAAGCAGATAGAATTGGCTTCTTAGCTGTGGGACCTCAGTGTTATCTCTCCCGGCAAGCCTCAGTTCTCGGCTGTAAGGTGAAGGAAGGCACTGCGAGCCCATTTATAGTGTTTAAATGAGTAAGTGAGCTCATGCTTTCAGAGGAATCAATCAGAGCAACCACTAGTCAATTTGAGTTACTGAGTCTGGGGAAACAAATGGTCGGTATAGTGTAAGTTTCTTTCCATCATTCACTTGCAGAATATCCTTTTTTTCCCCAATGTCCTCCAAAGTAGTTCCCTCTACATCTGACACACTAGAAATCCATAAAAATGACCTCATGAGGTGACACATGCGATGTGCTCTGAGTTTCACGGTGAGACTCCATCTGAGTGTGGGAGAGAATTTATGTGTTTGATATTATTTTTAAGAATTTGACTTTACTTCACGTTGAGTAATTCCTAATTAGGTATAGGGAAAAGCAGTGTATCTTTGGAACATTTTTATTTTATTATTCCATAGTCCTAATGTGTTGCTGAGTGTTATTCATTGACATCCTCAAGCCAAACTTAGAATGAGGCCTAATGAAACCCACTGCTATAAGGCTGGCAGAACTCTTCTTTTCTATATTAATACATGAACAACTTATCAGAAGTGCCTAATTTGATAGTTACCCTGAGTGACTTAAGTTGATTCTGTCTGTTTGTCTCTCTGTCTGTCCATTCATCTATAGATCTATCTGTCATGCTGGAGATGAACCTAGGGCCTTATACCTGCCAGGCAAGTCCTCTACTTGAAGGATCTACTTGTTCTGAAAAGGATCTACAAGTCTTTATATTCCAAAGAAATGCCTGCCAGAAGAGCTGGCATGTGGGGTTGGCGAGGTGGCCAAGTGGTTAAGAGAACTTGCTGGTCTTCCAAAAGATTGAATTTGGTTCCAGCATCCTTGTCAGATGGCTTGAGACTACCAGTTCCAGGGCACATGTTGGCTTTTTCTGGCCTATTTGGGTACCTGCACACATATACTATTATTAAAATAAAGCAGCGAGAGCGTCCTGTACAGCAGTGATTGTCAGAGTGATGCTGCCAGTTCCTGGAATGCAGGACCCCTTGTGTTTAGTCTTCATAGTAATGCTGACTGGTTTTTGACTGTTCTGGCTGTGCCTATTTTGGTGTTGATAGTGAAGAACAGGTGTCACCGCGATGGACCAAGGCCTTGGTATCAAATTATACTTGTAGCTAAGCTCATTATAAAACACAGTAACTTCTTTTTTTTTTTTTTTTTTTTAAGTACAAAACTACCTAAATAAAACAAAACATGAGTTTTATGTAAAAATACCCTTCTTGAAAGGGTAAAGTATTACTTTATCTCAGTCTTGGAGTGCCCTCTTTTCAACCATCTGTGTGACAAAATGGAAATTATAAGCAGGTACTTCTGCTAAAAACTGTGTCCAAGTATGAGGTTGCCTTGAGGTGAGCACTGTGTCTTTTTTAGTCTGAGCTTCTTTCTTCTTCTCATGGAACAGCATTTTTACTTGACAGGAAGTTCTTTGAAAATGAGGAGGAGCCTCTCCATCAAGGAAAACACCTGATGGTATTTGTTGTTGTTGAGTAAATGTAGGTATTTGAGGGATCCTTAGAATTTTGGAAAACTTTTCTCTGCCATTGCAAAATGAAGGTTTAAAGACTTTTTAAAAAATATATTTATTTATTTTGTGTGTGTGCCCTTCTGTGCATTTAGAAATAAGAAGGCAACTTATAAAAGTTGCTTTTCTCCTTCCATGTGTGTTCTGGGCATCACATCAGGTTGTCTGGCTTAGTAGCAAGCACCTTTACCTGCTCTGGAGGTTTTTTGGTGCTATTATTAGTAATAGCAAATAGGACTTAAATATATTATATAATTAAAGGTATTTTTAATTATAATTAAACTTCAAAATGTCAGTATTTTTTATGATAACTATATGATGATACAGAATCAGGTGGGTAGAAAATTCTTCTAAAGCATATAAGAGACAAGTGAATTTGAATGGATAGGGCAGAGAAGTTTATTTACATAGCTTCATTTTCTGCATCATGGCTAGTTTTTGTCTTCTTGGAGTGATGTTCTTAAACACAGCTTCATTCTCGCCCAGCAAGTGCTGTAGTGCTGGTCCATGTCTCCAGTCTGCAGCTAGCCTTTCCCGCTTGCGCTACAGATCTAACCCATGGCCTTGTACCTCTTCAGGCAGTTTGCCTTCCCAGCCAAGCAAAAATTTACTAACTACCCATTGTTTCATTTTAGTATATATCATAGAATAGTCAGTTATCAGAAAGGTGTTAAAATATTTTTCCCTAGTGTAAACATACATTTGTTTGTTTGAGTGTAAACATACATTTGTTTGAGATCTGCATTTTCCATATCGTAATAGATTGAATACAGAAGAAATGAGAATATAGTTGTCTTCTAAGTAGTTAAATACATATCTCTCTGTCTATCTATCTACTTAATTACTTATTTTGAGACAGGGTCTTTCTGTGTAAGTCTGGCTGTCCTGCTCACTGTACAGACCAGGCTGGCCTTGAACTCACAGAGATCCATTTGCTTCTGCCTCCCGAGTACTGGGATTAAAGGCATGTATCACCACACCTGGCTAAATATATTCGTGTGTGTGTGTGTGTGTGTGTGTGGGTGTGTGTGTGTGTGTGTGTGTGTGTGTGTGTGTGTGTGTAAGTGTAAGTAGAATTTGTATTTTTCTAAGCAGTTTTGAATTTTGTAGAATAATTTTTTTTTTTTTAATCTTTAGAAAATATTTTATTCAGCACTGTGTGGATCAGGCTAGCCTGGAACTCACAGAGCTGAATAAAATATGTTATGGTTGTAGTTAACTTAGTGAGTTTTTCTAGTCCTTTGTAGGGACTCTGGAGACTGAAGCAGTTGCATCCATTCTTAGGGAGCTGGAGCCTTTGGTTCCATTCCTTTGTACGTCCTTGTGTAAGCACAGCGTCTTAGCTGTAACCAGCATAGATTATCTGCTCGTGAATTCCCAGGTGCCCAAGAAAAGGCCTTCCTGGCGGCACAGAACCAGAGCTTCTCAGTTGAGTACCAGGCTGAGGCCAGTCTGCCTCCTGATTCACTGTTAATTGATTACTGATGTCCTCACCTGACACTTAATGCAGATGGAATTTGATGGTTATTTAACTTGCTTAGGATAACCTGATATGAACATTTCAGTATCATTTCCTGCTGTTTACCAGGCAGAGAATATTAGGTCTGACAATTACTGTGTTCAACTCTGTACAGTTTTAAAACAAAACAAGACAAACCCACAAATCAAGCCCTAATACCTTTCAATGCTTTTCAAACAGGAATTTTAAACAATGGGTGTTTTCTCATATGTACCAATGCCTTTATTTCACTGTTTTTAGGCAAGAGGAGGAGCGTGGCCGGGTGTATAACTACATGAATGCTGTTGAAAGAGATTTGGCAGCCTTGAGGCAAGGGATGGGCCTGAGTAGAAGGTCCTCGACTTCCTCAGAGCCAACTCCCACAGTAAAAACCCTCATCAAGTCTTTCGACAGTGCATCTCAAGGTAATTAATTCCTTGTCTGTGGTCTGCAGGGCTTATGGTTCTGTTCACTTGACACATCCTCCGTGTCTAGTTTAGTGTTCTGATCTATGAACTTGTGTATGGTATCATGGTGTCATATAGTGCCATGGAGTGTCACACAGTGTCCTGTGGTATCGTGAATTAAGGCACATTCTACAGGGGTCTGGAATTTACTTCAGTTTAGAAATCGTGGTCTCAGCTGCATGCCTGACTTCCCAGGCCAAACTGTATCTTTTCTCTTTAGGTGGATCACACTTACTCCCATGACTTCTTGTTTTTTTTTTTTTTGTTTTTTTTTTGTTTGTTTGTTTGTTTATGCGCAGACATCTGGGTGCATAACTCTAGCTCCTAACCTTCCTCTGAATTTCTCAGTCCTAATACCCAAGTGCCTTATTAACACTGACACTTTTGAGTCTCTAGGCATCCTTATGTTCAGAACAGATACCATTGTCTCACTTCATCTTTTCTCACCTCTAGAGTCAGCACAGTTCTACTCAGTTACCAAGACCAGAAACCTAGGACTGTCACTCCTTTCTCTCACTGTCCTCCCGAATGGACCTCCTTGTTCTTTTCTCCTTCTTTACTTCTAGAGACATGAATTTAAGTTCAAGCCACCTTCAGCTCCTGACTTCAGTGAACTCTTACTTATACTCACCTTGTTGCCATTGAGAGCGTGTAACATCCCTTGTGTAATATCTGTAATTATCTCACAGTTGGAATGAAGTTCACATCACCCTTTTGTCACCACTGGACTGCTCTGTTAGTTTGTTCAGCCCAACAACACTGCACTTCAGGGTCAGGGACAAGCCAGGCTCCTGGTGGTGTGGCTCCTACAGCAGTAACTCTGAAGACATAGTAGCAGTCTTTGATAAGAGCTGTAGACTGTCTTCTCTGGGTGTGAGTGTGTGTGTGTGTGTGTGTGTGTGTGTGTGTGTGTGTGTGTGTACGCACATGTTGTATTGTTTTTTGAGACAGGGTCCTACTGTGAAGCCCAGGTTGACCTAGAATCCTCCCTAAGCAGCTCAGTCTCGTCTCAAGTCATGATCCTTCTCCCTCAGTCTGTGAAGTACTGAGATTGTTGGTGTTTGCCACTATGCCTGCGTCTTCTGTTTCTTACAATCTATAAAGAGTGGTGCTAGGGATGGAACCCGGGGCCCCATGCATGCTACATGTGTGATACTCTGAACTGTGCCCCGTCTTTTTTTTCTTTTTTTCTTTCTTAGATTCTATTGGTTGATGAAGTATTTTAGCCAGCCATACAATGTGATTAAATAGCAAAAGTGAAGTACTGGCCTAGGAAAGCAAACCATTCATCTGGTAGAGGAAATACCTGTGTTACAGGCTCTGCCTGTGAGTATTCAGCACACATCAGGCATTGTCCGTAGCCTCTAGTTGGCAGGAAATTAGGAGGTTTGGCTCATGGCGATCCCTTCCATGGAGATGAGTAGAAAACTCCCCCAGCACCATGATGTGCTTCTCATTAACTTTCTCATTTGCTGTTTCTGTAGTACCAAATGCTGCTGCAGCTGCAATTCCTCGAACGCCTCTGAGTCCAAGTCCCATGAAAACCCCTCCCGCAGCTGCCGTTTCCCCCATGCAAGTAAGTGCCTGGGATCACTGAAGCCTCGAAAGCTTTAATTTGTATGTTAGACCCTCTTTCAGAGTCACGCGCATGTCTCAGGTGGGTGAATGACTGCCTCAGAAAGAGATTTGCTAAGTTATCCTTAATTGAGGCAAATGGTAAATGCAAATTGTGATGCTCTTCTGGAAAACTTTGATATCTCTCTGAGTATGTAGCTGTCATATTTCATCTTTTACTGTCTAATAGATCACTTAAAATCTTTCAGACTAAAAAAAAAAAAAATCTTTCAGACTTATTGGGTGGAGAGATGGCTGAAGAGTTAAGAAAGCTTAAAGCTCTTGCAGAGGACCTAAGTTGTATTTCCAGTGCTCACGTGAGACAGTTCACAGTACCCTAAAACGTCAGCCTGTAACATCAGCTGTATCCACTGGACACCAGAATGCAAGTACACATCTCTACACACTTGCACATATACAGCCCAGTTAAACATCGGTCTATACAAGGCATGAACTGTGAGACGTGCCGTTCACGGGGCCATTTGTCACAGGGGGACTCAAAGACAGGACATTGCTGATTGTAAATAACCTTCAGAGTTGCTGTTCTTTGCCATTGTTGGAGTGCAGCCAGCAGCAAGGCAGAGGGCTCTTTTCTGTGAGGCTCAAGAGACCCTCTTGTTACTCCATTTGCACAGCCACTTTGAGAGTCCAGCCGAGGTGAAATAATTTAACATAGGTGAGAGTAGCCAAAGGAAAAATGGTTCCCTGAACTAGTATTCTGTGATGACGGGTAGCTGTGGCTACCTTTCTCCTTCCTTAAAGTTAGGCCTTGGGGCATTTTCTTTTTGAGTTGAGACTTCATAATTGGCCCTGTAATTTGTGAATGTACTTTTAAACTCATACAGTCTAAGATAAGTCTCCCAGCCAGTGGCTTTGCATTTCATGTTTATATAAGATATCTTCTTAACTTTAAAGGAAGGCAAGGAACTCCATGTTTTGCCTACAAATTTAATGCTTTTTAGATGCTCTCTATTAATCAGACTTTTAAAAGAAAACCTAAAAGCAAGGTTTTAGGTAAAGCAATGCCAGGTAAAGCCAGGTAAAGCAAGCCTCAAATAACATGAAGCTTTTCTAGCGCTTATCTGTTGACATTTCACGTCTAACATAATTTTATAGCATATTTTTGAAGATAGGATTAAAAAATATCTGTAGCTAGACATAAAACTCAGTATAATTTCTTTAATATATGGTTAGTCTGTTCAGTGTCTCTCAATGGTAACTTCACAGAGAACCATGGAAAGGGTGTAGAAACAGGTCCCCAGACATTGTTTTCGTGACCAGAATCTCTGGGACAACACCAAAGTTGGCTGTGTTAAGTTGTTGTTTCGGGTTGTTTGGTTGTTTGATTGGTTGGTTTGATTTTCAAGGCAGGTCTTTCTGTGTAGTGCTGATTGTTCTGGAGCTCACTCTGTAGACCAGGCAGGCTGGCCTTGAACTCAGTAGAGATCAGCCTGCCTCTGCTTCCTGAGTGCTGGGATTAAAGTGTGTGCCACTAGTACTGCTTGGCTTCTTCTTTTTAGTCAGGAGTTCTTGCTGTGTCAATTCAAGCATTGTCACAAACAAATGGAAAGCTGAACAAAATGTAGAAAACCATTGTTTTCAGACTTTGCACTACACGGGTCCCTGGGGGGAAAATGCTAACAGATAAGGGAAGTCCTGTTGTGGGTCTCTTCCTGGAGGTGGTTTTTAGGTGGTGGTTAGGTAGGATGACCCAAGTTGGAATAGAGAAGGACTAACCAGTTAGATCTGAGGACATAAACTGACGTTCAAAGGAGAGGAAATCAGAATCTCCAGGGCAAGGTCCCCTGGGAAGAGGAAGCTACACAGAGAGGTCCAGACATTTCCATAGGTATCCTTCTGAATCTCTGCTGAGGCTGGCAGCCTGTCTGTGCTTGGAGTGAAGCCCCACAAGGCCTGGCAGGATGACTTTTCAGACAGACACGTTCTATAGTTTACATAGGACGCGGAATCCGTGAGTTCATGTCAGCCACCATCAGACACCTTGAACAGATAGGGCGTAAAGTACATGTGCTTGATAGTACAGGTCTGCCCCAAAAACCTTAAAGGCAGGACACAAAAGGACGAGGAGAGCTGTAAGCAGCTGTGCGCTCCCCCTGAGCTCAGCCCCGGTAGTCACTGTGTGTGCATGCTGCTCTTACGAGCGTTGGCTGCCTTCAGGGTTTGTTTCTGATGAATGGAGCACAGCAGAAGGAATGGGATGGCACTTCCCAGAGAAGATGTAAAATCGGCTCCTTTGAAGTCCACTGCTCCTGCTACTTGGGCTCACTCCTGAGAAAACCCTCTGTAGCTGCCATGGTGTGGCCTTGTTCTTGCAGAGGACTATCGAGTGAGCTCAGAAGCAGCTCAGAGGCTGACAGCCTGAAAGAGATCTCTCCTACACCTTCCCTCCAGTCTGGCTTTGTGATACGGAAAACTCGATTCACCTGCTCACTGAAGACCTGGAGCTAGAGTTACCTCGCTAAGCTTTTGACCCGTAGAAATCACGAGGTCATAGTGTTTACTTTTTAAAGTCCCAGTAAAGTGTTGGGATACTTTGTCAGGCAGCACAGGGAAGTCACACAGTAGGTTATTTCCCTGCTAGAACAGTCTTACCATTTTTAACAGGATCCAACAAAATACAAGGTAGTTTTGTATTTATATGGAAATGGATTTGAGTATGTAAAACATTGGGAGGGTTTGTAGTACTTGATTGTGACACTTGGCATGTAACACCAACAGTGTGTTTACTGAAGAGAAATCAGGAAGTAGATAGAATCCTGGGGTAGATGAGGTGACTTCAGTACAAATACCAGGATTATTTAGAAGGAGGGTAGGAGTAGTCTACACAGGATTCTGGGTAACTAGATATCCATATGACATACTGTCAGGGTTATTTAGTAGTAGGGTAGATGTAATCTACATAGGATTCTGAGTCTGATACACTGAGGTTATAGACTGGGACATTGGTGAAAATCTCTGTATTCTTTGAGCATGCAAAGACTTCTTATTTAGGACCTTCTTGTGGGTAGGACCATTCTTAGCCAGGTGATCCTGGGCTGTTTAAGAAACCAGGCCAAGGGCGTCAGAAGTGGTGGTGCATGCCTGTAATCCCAGCACTTGGGGAGGCAGAGGCAGGTGGATCTCTGTGAGTTTGAGGCCAGGCTGGTCTACAATGTGAGTCCAGGACAGCCAAAGCTACACAGAGAAAGCCTGTGTCAAAAAACAAACAAACGAAGACTTGTGCACAGTAACTTGAAGACAACATGTAATAAGGGTAAGTGATTTACATGTGAGAATATGAGGTGTTCAGCATCATTAGTCGCCAAGGAAATGGAACTGAAATTTACAGTAAGATACCAGTCCTTACTATGGGCAAAATGATAGGATAACAGTGTGACGATGTGGAAAAACCAGGCCTCTTGCCTGAAAAAGAAGCTGGAAGTTAGCTGGGTGTTTAGAAGGTATGACTAAGGGCTAGGGTGTGGAGGAAGAGGCAGGTGGATCTCTGAGTTTGTGGCCAGCCTGGTCTACATAGAAAGTTCCAGGACAGCCAGGGTTACATAGTGAGAATTTTGACTTTAGTGGGGTGTAGGGGCTGGAGAAAAGCCAAGGAAATAGAATTACAAGAAAGAAGTGTGGGCAGCCTGTATTTTACGGGTTGGAGTAACAGTGGTGGGTATTTAGACTGCTGTGCTTGCCTCCTACATCAGGGGACAAGGAAACACCTAGTAGTGCTGTTGACAGGACTGCTGAGTTAAAGACCTGTTCCAGGCCGATTGTTGAGTTATCAAGTAGGAGGCACAGTTGAGGTCTGTTTGGAACCAGGACGAGAAAAACCAATAAAACCACAATAGAAACACATCCATATTTTGGTTTGGAACCTAATTTTTTGTTTAGCAAATTAGCATATGGTAGTTTAAGAATTCTCTTTAAACAGAAGAATTAAATTGTATTCACAGTGCCAGAGGCTGTCAGGGTCAGTGGTACGCGCAACTATAAAAGGGTCCCAGGGAAGCATCCTTGTGTCAAGGCAGTGTCCTGTGTCTTGGCTGAGGCCGTGTTCTAGTTGTGATGGCCATTAACGTGAAGAGGATGCTGGCTGCATCATTTCTTAAAACCCTATAGGATTATATGTTTTTCTTATAATAAGTTTATTTATTTTTAAATGATTTATGTATTTTTATTTTATATGCATTGTTTTGTATGCATGTTTTTCTGCGTAAGGGTGTCAAATCCCCTGGAACTGGAGTTAGAGACAGTTGTGAGCTGTCCATGTGGCTTCTGGGAATTAAACCTGAGTCCTCTGGAAGAGCAGCCAGTGTGTGCTCTTAACCACTGAACCATCTCTACATCCCCCAAATATATTTTTTAAGTCTACTGATTACACATTGTATGTGTCTATTGTGTGTGTATAACCTTACCATAGCAGAACAAAGGAATTATACGTTGTTTGCAACTAAATATATACCTACTCTCTGAAGTATTTGTCTTTTCTCTGAGTCTTAGTAGTAGATTTGAAATACCTTGCTTTCATTTCAGAGACATTCCATAAGTGGACCAATCTCAGCCTCCAAGCCTTTGACAGCCTTGTCAGATAAGAGATCAAACTATGGAGAACTTCCTGTGCAAGGTACAGCTTATATGCTCATATCATTTCACTTTCTGTGTTAATTTTTACATTTTTTGGTTAATTGACTTATTTTCTTAGTTCTGACATTATGCTAGGCAATCTGGTGTATGTCTTCATCAAAAGTTTTTATTAACATGTCTTAACTACCAGTAGGGAAATGAGTTATTAGTAAATGAAGCGTTCATGACATACGTATGTATTTTCTTTTGCTTTGAAACAAAGTCTTGCTGTATAGTCAGACTGGCTGTGAACTGAGTTAATGGTCTTCGTAGCTGATGCTTTAGAGTATGGAGTTACACATGTGTGCCATCTTCCAGGCGAATGCCTTTTAAGTTATAATAAGTAATACTGAGTGCATGTCACTGCAAGGCACTGTTTCATGGTTCTTCATGGAGAGTGTATTAGTGTCATTCCCGTTTTCACAGACATTATTGTCAGAACACATTAAAAAAAAGTTAAGACCCAACAACATGCTTCAAGAAACCCACACTTTATTATACAAGCACAGATAAAAGTAGAACAAAGGAAAAGATTTACTATGCAGAGCCAAATACAGAGCACATGCCTATGATCCTATTATTCAGGTAGGCCAAGCAGGAAGATTGAGTTCTAGGCAAGCCTGGGCCAGACAGTAGGACCCTCTTTCAATATAACTGTAAATTACACTATTCAGTGTTATCATACTTATTCATGTGTCTGAACTAAAGTCTGCCATCTTGATAAATGTTTCTACTTGCCTTGTCATGGTCTTTGTGATTTCTCTTGAGTCCAATGACCTTTTTTTTTTACTACTCTGCTTTAGCTCCTTTATTAATATCCTATTGTTTGTTTGTTTGGGACAGGGTTTTTCTTTGTAGCCTTGGCTGTCCTGGACTTGCTTTATAGGCCAGGCTAGCCTCAAACTCACAGAGATCCACCTTCCTCTGTCTCCCCAAGTGTTGGGATTTCAGGTATGCACCACTGTACCCGGTTAACATCCTATTTTTTTTAAATTTTTAAAATCTTTAAAATTTTTGTTGGGACTGGAAAGATGGCTCAGTGGTAAAAAGTACTTGCTGATTTTGTAGAGGACCTGGGATCAGTTCCCAGTACTCACATGGGAACAGTGAAAAAACATGCAAGATCAGCTGAGCCCTCCTAGTTTGTTTTCTTATACTCTCCACTATCCACAGAAATTAAAAAGATAAGAAAAAACCGCGAAACTCGTTCTCTAGATTCCTTCAACTGAAAAAAAGAAAACTTGCTGTTCAGAGGGACAGTGTGGGTTCTACTGCCCCAGGGGATACTTACCTTTCGTTGTGTAGTGGTCATGGGTCCTGCTGAGCTCCCTACCCTTCACAAACAGTCTCACAACTAAGACCTGTACAGCCCCAAATGTCAATAGAGCCAAGGATGACAAACATTATAACAACTAGTTACTATTTTTTTACAGATATATTTTTCTTTATGAGTATGTGATGTTTGCCTGCATGTGTGTATCTACAACTGTATGTGTTCCCGGTGCCTGCAGAGGCCAGAAGAGGGCTCTGGATCCCCTGTAACTAGCTAGGGACACTTATAAGCCAGTCTCCACCTTCTTCAACTTTGTACATTCTTTTCTCCTTTGTTTTCAATTTAGTAACTGTCAGCTCCAATTTGTTGTGTTCATGTACTTCTGGGTCTGTGGCTATCCACTGAAGTTGATGTGCCAGGAGAGGAGTACACCCTTAAAAAACTTGCCTCCCTCTTTCTATTCATCCCCCTCTCTGGTTTCATTCTTAAGTTCTTTTTTTGAGACAATGTCTCATCATAGCCCAGGGTAGCCTTAAAGTCTTCATGGAGCTGAGGACAACCTCATTCTTTATCACATAGACTCTACTTCCTAAGTGCTAGGATTATAGGAATATGCCAGCATGCCAGGTCTTTTGTTTATGCATTTGAGGTGGGTCTTACCTGTAGCCCCAGCTGGCCTCAGAGTGGGGCAGTCCTGCTCTGCCAGCCTCCCATGCACCACCAAACCCAGCAGCTCTGTCTCTGAACCATGGCCTTTCTGCTTCTCTTCCTCAGCTGCTGTTGCCTCATGCCATCTTTCAGTTATTTCCTTTACCTGTACCTTCAACTCTCCTAACTCCCATTTCCTGGTATCTTTCTTGTGTTAAGAAAAACTCTACATGGTTGCACATTGCTGCAATCCCAGAACCCTGGAGGCTGAAGCAGGAGGATAGAGGGAGAACTCAAGTCTCTGTCTTCATCTATTTGTCTCTCTGCCTCTCTCTGTCTGTCTCCTCCATGAAAACAAGCCCTGTGTCTTGCACCAGCATTTACAGCTTCTCTCCCCTTGCACCGTTTCTCTACTTGTCTTGCCTTTTATACCCCAAGACATTCTAATATTCTGTTCCAGTCTGTATCTGTTGAATTGCTCTGACCAAGGTCACCTGTGACCAGTGTGCTCAGTTACATTACTCCTTGGCCACCTCTTGCTGGTAATTTCAAAAATCATGCATTTATTTCAGTTCTCCTTCCATACCCGGTCACCTTTCCGTATCTTCCCTTGATTATCTCAGAGGTTTTAAATTCGATATGTTTGCTTCTCTCACTTTTATAACGCTCCTCACCATTCTTACCTCTGAGCGTGTCACGTCTATCCTCACCTTCATCCCATCAGTCAGCAGTTCTGTTGATTCTGCCTTGCTAAGGAGCTCGTAAACCACCGTACTCACTTCTTCACCGTGCACACCCAAGTCCTTATCTGCCATCATCGTTCGTCTCTACTGTCTAGCTCACATCCTGCATAAACCTGTCCAGTTCGATGCAGCCACAAACCTGATAAAACCTTCAGGAGAAAGTCCAAAATCCGTAAAGTGAGTTTGGCCATCTGCCTTTCTCTTGCCTGTGGAGCCTCGCCTTGTTCCATTTTCCCTTTGTACTTTCAGCACTGCTATTCTGCTGGGCATTGAGCCAGGATAGATTCCCTTCTGAAATTTGTTTTTCCTGTGTAAAACCTATTACTTGTCGTTCTGATTTCAACCTCACAGTTATTGGAAATGAATCATCTCAGTGTTTCACAAAGGGACACATGAACAAAATGGAAGCAATTTGGCAAGCAGTTTCTCTTTTTGCAAAAAGGTCAGTTAGAACATATATGAGTTTAGTGAACTTTCACCAAAATGGCTTGCTTTTTATCTGTGTGTAGGTGGGGACTGCACCTCATCCCATTGATGGGTGTTCAATTTCACGGTCTGATGCCTAATCAGTGTGCAATGGAGGGGAGGAGTCTTGTTTTGTTTTTGTTTTTTTCCTGAGACAGGGTTTCTCTGTGTAGCCTTGGCTGTCTTGGACCAGGCTGGCCTCAAATTCACTGAGATCCACTTGCCTCTGCCTCCTGAGTGTAAGGATTACAGGAATGCCTCTGATAGAAAACAAACCAGCCAGCCTATTTCTCGAAAGTGTCCTGTCCGTCCTTTCCTGGATGTCTCAGCCCAGTCTCAGCAGCTGTTGGGTTCCCAGGGCCCAGGGCCCTTGATTTTCTTCCCATGGGTTCTTTATTTCAGAATAGTGCCTGTCTTGTTACTGCTCTATATTCCCAGTTCTGCAATAGCAAGTTTTTTGGTTTTTTTGGGTTTTTTTTTGTCTTCTTTCTTTGACTTTTTTTTTTTTTTTTTTTTTTGGCGGGGGGAGGTGGGAGGGAATCAATTTCTAATTTATGGCAAGTTTTACTTTCAGAACTAAATCCACAGAACAGCACATTCTAATTCACCCTTGAAGGCTGGCATGCTGAGCAAAGAATGTTCTTAGTCTTCGTAAGAGTTCCGTCTTTACATTGTCACATGCCAGGGCCCTGCCTTTTGGCGTGATTTCAGCCACCAAGTCATCGACAGGAACATGCTCTGGTCCTTTTTCCTTAACCACCTCTTTACAGTGTGCTCTCAGCTCACCCTCCCAGCCGCACTCAGTCCAGTTCTCAGCAGCTCTTGGAGGCGCTCTTCCCCCAGTTTCTGTTATCCCTTGGTTAATCGCTGCTCTCATCTCATCCTTGTGCATCTTGCTAACCTCCATCACCGTGGGTGAGGGCCTTCCTTCCCCACGGTGAAATGAGCCTGGCACTGATGACTTCCTGTGATTTCCCCTCCAGGGTACCTGTACACATGCATGTGTGTACAGGTGAATGTGTACACACATTCACGCGTGTGCATGTGTCCATGTGCGTGCACACACAATTGAAAATGCAGTAAACCTTTAAAACAATTATTTGGACTAAAAGACGTGATATTGTAGAGTTAATACGGTATGCCATTACTTTCTACATTATAATGTAAGAGAAGTATCACTTAAATTGGTAATTCTTTTGGTTTCTCTGTTTGTGTTTGTTGGTTGTGTTTTTTGGTTGTTGTGGTTCTAATCATTAAACCCAGGGCCTCATGCAACTTAAAACACACTTTATCTTTGACCTGCTTTTCTATCTACTAAATAGTTAATATGTTTAAAAATAGAAATGGGTGGGCATTCTTGGAAAGCAAGGCTAATAATAGCCTTTATTAAATACAGGCATTATTGTTTAGTTTTACACTAGTCATTTATCCCTAACATATCAGATCCTGTCTAGGCAGAACACATGCATTCATGTGTTCTGGCCCGAGAATAGCCATTGGATTTGTAGCCCTAGATAAGACGTGTGCAGAAAGAGAGTGTTAACCCCAGCATTTCAGAAGCTAACAAGACTCCTAAGAAAGCTTGTGTTTAAGAACTAAACTGAAGGTGTAACAGGGGCAGCCCCTGATTGTGTCCTTCCCGGATGCAGCTGCTCAGCAGCGGTGGTAGGACTAGACTAAACTAGCCCTGTCCTCAGACCAGAGCCCTCAGGTCTGGTAGTAAAGGCTGTCTCTCAGCCCGAGAGCCTTCTTCCTGCTGCTCTGCTGTCCATATACCTCATGTTTTATCAAACCACACTCTTACTTTTTCCTCTAACTTGCGTCTTTGTTCCTATTATCATCTGGCTGAAATGTAGTTCTCAGCCCTTTTTCTTAGGTAGGAAGACCTAGCTTGACACCATGATGTTTTCAATCCCTCTCTGCTGCCCGAAATGGGAATGACCTATTCTCCCATCGCCGGATAGTATGCTATAGTATGGAATTCTAACTGTACTGTCCAAGTCTGTCTGTGAATACATGTATGTGTTATCTCCCCTCGGAAGGCAAGGCGTTATTTAGTTGGCACCTTGGGCCCATGCAGCGGGGGACCTCTTAATTTTGATTGAGTTGTTTTGAAGGTTTAAGTGGCACAAAAACGACATAGAAACGGCCACTTGTGTGGTGTGTCTCACCACCATCTCTGGAAATACACTATTGAACTGGAGTGTTTTACGTGGTCCTGGTCCTTGGAGGTTATTTTTAATAAACATGCTGTTTGAGGGTTGACGTACCTTAGGTTGGGAGGAGGGATGAGCCTCAAGGGTGAGGAAAGTAAGACTTGACTTGTACCACCTCAGCAGTCACAGGTGTCTTTTGACTTTGTGCAGAGCATCTATTAAGAACATCTTCAACCAGCCGCCCTGCTTCTCTCCCAAGAGTCCCTGCAATGGAAAGTGCCAAGACCATCTCAGGTAATAACGTTTATCTGAAAATTTGTTTTAAAAATGCTACATGTTTTCAGTTGCCTACATTGTAGTAATGACATGTTAAAGGCACATGTTTGTGAAAGCTGATAGACTTAGATGTGCAATGACTGATTTGAAGACTTAGTCAAAATACACCAAAACATTTCTGGACGCTAAGTTTGCCAATATGGTAAAGCCCCCACATGATGGCTCTGAGGGGTGACTGTGGATGTCCTCAGTGTTCCAGCTATTTATATTATTTCCCTTGTGGCCTCTCTTTTGAGACAGGGTTTCTCTGTGTGAGACCAGGCTGGCCTCAAACTCGCAGTGGTCCACCGGTCTCTGCCTTGCCGAGTGCTGGGATTGCAGGCGTGGGTCACTGTGCCTGGCTCTTTGTGGCCTTTTCAGTTGCACCTGGAAAGGAAACCCCTGAGAGCTCTGCCATGCTGTGGTTACTGTCTTCCTTGCCACGCAGTGAGCATGGGCACTTCCCTTCTTCCCTCTCGCCCTTGTTTCCAGCTGACTGTAATGAAGGCTTGTCACCACTTACATAAAATGCCGTCACATCTCAGCCTTAGCACACCACTTTAAAAATAACTTAAGTTTTAAGACATAAGTACTTGAAAAAAAAAGGATAGCCATAAGATTATGCTCTAACACATGTAAGTGTGCCGTCCTGACATCATTTGATAGGAGATCCTCACGGTGGCTCTTTACTAATGCTGCATGTTGGTCCTGAGTTCATCTGGATCTTGTTAGCCAGACCTGGGCTTGGCAGCACACACCTGTGCTCACTTGTGGAGGCTGAGGCGGAAGGCTGCAGAGTTCTAGGCCACTTTTTTTTTTCTTCTGTCAGACTTGCAAAATTAAAGTGATTGACTGGCTGACTTTTAGTTTTCTGGCTTTCCGATGTGTGTTTGAAACTGTGGCCTGTCCCAGAACTGCATCTGGCTCTGTACCTCTCCTTCAGTGTTCCCTGCATTGAGGAGGTTGTGTTTATTTCATTGTGGGGCCAGGCAGCAGGGAGTAGTCGCCGGGATCGCTCTGGTGTTCAGTTGTGTTAGTGTAGTCCTCACCGTGTGCCAGGTAGATGCTGTGAATGATTCGCAACGGTGTGGTCACTTTGTATTTCCACGACCAACTTTTCACAGATTTTAATTTCATCAGATTTCTTCTGATAATGTCTCGTTCTTTAGCCCAGGCTAGTTTCATGTTCATGGTCGGCCTCCTGCCTCAGTTTTGAAAGTGTAGGGATTCTAGACATAGATCACGATTCCTACCTGTGTAGGTGTGTTCAGTGAAAACTAAATCCTCTCCAGTCATCAGTGAGACTGTTAGCTCCTCCCCTCACAAGGTAATATTTGTTCCTTAAGAATCTTCAGAAGAAAGTGTCAAGAGCTCAAACTAAAAGAAATTAAAGCATGTGTATCGCTTTATACTTTTTAAAGATATATAATTATAACTTGTCAATATGTATGCTACATTTAAAAAATTATTTGACAAAGCATTCTGACCTTTTATCTAGATGTCAAAAAATAAAATAACTCTTAATCTTTCTAAGACGTTTTCTTCCCAGAGTTTTTAAATCTTTTTTAATTGAAGTAGATTTTCTACAATATATTCTGATTATGATTTTTCCCTTCTTCAACTCCTCCCCCCTTCCCCACCACAAAGTCATATCCTTTCTCTGTCTCATTAGAAAACAAACAGGCATCTAAAATAATAATAACAATAACAATAATAAATAAATAAATAAATAAATAAATAAATAAATAAATAAATAAATGGATAAATGGATAAATGGATAAATAAATAAATAAGAACAAACCAGAATGGAGCAAAACAAACAGGAAAACAAAAAGAGCCAAGAAACATATAGACACATACAGGAGCTCAGACACACACATTCTCATACACAAAAACCTTTTCTTTTCTTTTTTTTTTTCTTTTTTGAGATGGTGTTTCTTTGTGTAGCCTTGGCGCTGTCCTGGACTTGCTTTCTACACCAACTCACAGAGATCGGCCTGCCTCTGCCTCCCCTGATTGCTAGGATTACAGGTGTATGCCACCGCACTCAGCTCAAATTTCTTCTTACATTAGAAAATTCATAGTACATGGAAACATGTTACATAAGGATTTTCATACAAATACGATAAAATTGATCATATCCCCTATCTTTTCCCCTTTCCCTTTAGCTCTGTTTGTTCCCCTAGATAGTTATTTTTCATGGTCTATATACTTCTATGATTTTATGGCCTGTAAAAGCATCCAGGAACCACAAAAGAGAGAAAACATATTTGTCTTTGTGTTACTGACTTTATTTGTGTAATAATATGAAACATTTGGAGATCATTTCATTTAGAGTCTTAACTGCCCATCTTTCACTGCAAATGATGAAACTTTATTCCTTGTGGCATGGGGGAAGAATCCACTGTATATTTACAGCACAGTTGCTTTGTCCCTTCCTCTATTGTTACATACCTGGGTTGGTTCCATGACCCAACTAACGTGAATAGTGCTGCCTTCCACATTGATGTTCAAGTACCTTTAATATCTTGGTTTGCATAGTCGGTAATTCTGAGTTTTGTGTGAAACCTCAATACTGAGTTTCACAGTGGCTGGACTAGTTTATATGACATGATGACATTCTCACAGTGTCTCGACGAAGTAGTGAAGAAATGAAACGGGACATCTCTGCATCTGAGGGAGCGTCACCGGCCTCTCTCATGGCTATGGGCACCACGTCACCACAGCTGTCCCTCTCTTCCTCTCCCACGGCATCTGTCACTCCAAGCACCCGGAGCCGAATAAGGTAGGAAGCATGTTCTGTGTACCTTTCCTGGTCTTTCAGTGTGAAGGATCAGCCTACAAGTCGGTACTATTTAAGTGTCCCGCTTTCTCTTTTCATGTCATTTGGTGTTGACTACACACTTTTGATTTAAACTAGAAATGGCTAAGTAAGTGTAGGTGAGGCATCTCTAGTCTGAAAACCCAAGTACAAGCCTTTTTGAGTAACTAACAGGAAAGCCAGAGTGTCTCAGACTTTGGATTTTCAATTAGATATGTTCTACTGGTAAATTCTATGCAGATATCCTGAAATCTGGTACTTGCTTGTACAGACAGTATAGCTCAGTGGTAGAATACTTGCTTAGCATGTGTAAAGGCCGTGGGTTCAATTCCTACTGTCATAAGTAAACAAATAGTAAACAAAGATAGAGGGAGGACAGGAGAAGTAATGCAAGTAGATAGAGGGCATGCCCACAGTCTCAGCAGCCAGACTATGGAGGCACGAGGATTATAAATTTGAGCCTAATCTTGGTTACATATTAAGACCTTGTCTGAAAAACATTAAAAAAAAAACTGAAAAAAACTCTGAAATTTGAAGTACTTTCCAACCATGTGTTATGAAGTTGAATCTTGAGCATCAGGCAGATTATTAGAGAAGGGTTCGTAGGGAGGTCGAGCCTGTGTGAAGTCTTGAGGACTGTGGATAGGGACATTATTGGCGAGGTAAGTAACTTGAAAGCATGTAGGAAGGGATGACTAAGCATGCAGTCTGTGTGTGGTCCGTAGGAGATGCTGTGGTGGTTCAGGAGACATACAGGTCTGCTGTCTCAGGGCAGAGGGCATGATTGAGTAGCTAGCTGATGGAACCTCTTTAAAGTCAGACTGGGTCATTTTGGTGTGATGGGAGGTAGGGAGTGGAATGAATACATTGAGATGATAGAAGAAGTTTTTTCTTTTGAGAGACCAGCTAATAGGATATTTGTGCTAGTATTGCTGGTCAAAGTTAACAAGTCTTTTCGGGGTAATAACAGGTTTGGAGCTGAGGAGAGGCTGGGTCCACAAGGAAGGAGTTTTTGTAAAAGCAGCGATTTTAGCAACAGGCTTTTTTTGTAAGGAGTGCCAGCATAGCAACTGTGAGAGGCGGTTCTGACTGCTGGGACTGGACATCAGACAATGTTGTGCTTTGCTGATCACTCTTCAGCAGGACATGAAAGTGTGAGTTCCTGTTCACTTTCTAGATCTTTCTGGAAGAAGCTACTTTAAGCGTTCACAGGAGTGGTGACATACCTTTAATCATAGCACATAGGAGACAGAGGCAGGTGCCTCTGTGAGTTTGAGGCTAGCGAGGACAAACAAGGAGACTTTTTTACACACACACACACACACACATACACACACAGAGAGAGAGACATTTAGAGAGAAAACATCAGAAATTGAGCATACATTGTAGGAATGCAAAAAACCTGTTGACAAATGTAACATTAAGAAAAGGAGGAATAGGAAAGGGCTTCAGAGATTTCACTGTTTATTAAGTTCTAGGTTTTGAGAATAAAGTGTAGCGCTTGACTATTCAGATTCAAATTAAGAACTTTAAAAAGGATTATTGTACACATAGGATCTCCCTTCAGAGCGTAGGCTTGCCTTGAAGTTTAGATTCTTTCTACCTTAGTTTCTCAGGTGCTGGGATCATGTCACATGCCTGCTAAATGAACTTACTTTTATTTGTATTTTAAATTGCGTTTATTTTATGTACGTTTCCTGAGTGTATGTCTGCAAACCGTGTGTATGCAGTGCCCACAGAAGCCAGACAAGGGCAAAGATACCCTAAGCTGTCATGTGGGTGCTGGGAATCAAACCTGGGTCCTAATGCTATAATCCTGAGCCATCTCTCCAGCCCTGTGAACTAACTCTTAAAGCCATACCTGTTGTGTGACTGACCCCTGAGAAATGTGCACCCATAAGCAGTACATTTTATGACTAAGTGGATGGTGCAGGGCCAAAGACTTGCTAGGCACAGTACAATCATATTTAGTTTTAGTACTTAGGAAGATGAGGGAGAAAGGCTGAGCTCAGAAGTTTGGGCCCAGCCTGGGACATAGTGAATTCTTTTCATCTTAAGAAATCAAGGTGTACAGTTTAGCACACTTAATATTTTTTTAGAAGTAATATATGTTTTTGTTTGCAGTGAGGAGGATTGAACCTAGGACCCTGTATGTTCTAGGCAAGCACTCTAGCACTGAGCTGCAGCCCAGCATTTTCGTTTTTATTTATTTATTTTTTATTCTGTTCACCCACCCAGTCACCCATCCATTAAGATAGTCACCATCTAGCTATCTTAAGACAAGGTTGCCCTCAATCACCCAGGCTAGCCTAGAACGTTCACCAAAACCTCGACAGGCCTCGAGCTTGCGGTCTTCCTGCCCCAGCCTCAGAAATGCTGGGAAGTGGTGGGATTACAGGACTGCCCGCCAGGCTGGGCTTGTTCGTCTAACATGGTTTTGGTTTTAGTGTGTCTGTGTGGGTTGTTGCTTTGAGACAGGTCTTACGAACTGTATGTAGACAGGGCTGACTTTGAACTTCACAGAGCTCTCCTGCCACTGCTTCTTGAGTGCCACCGTACACGGTGTAAAATGTGTCTTTAATGTTTATTGCCATCTCTTTTTCCCCTATACCTTAAAAAACAGAAAATTCATTTTTATTACATGATGCTTTGTATATGGGTGGTTTGCCTGAATATGTATCTGTGTACCGCATGCCAGCATGGTCCCTGCAGAGGCCAGAGGAGGACATTGGAATGGGCTTTTACAGACACTTGTGAGCTGTCTAGCCAGTGCTGGGAATTGAACCTGGGTCCTCTGGAAGAGCAGTCAGTGCTCTTAACCACGGAGCTATTTCTAGCCCTTATTGCTATCTCTTTTTGTCTTATTTGTCTAATTTTAAGCTCCATAAAGGCAGAATCTATGTTTTAGAATTCATCATATAATAATATAACCTTGTCTTTTTTTTTACTTATAATGAGTGATTTTGAAATTGAAGACAGGATTAAGAACATAAGAAGATAAAAAGGGTGAAATAAACTAAAGCATGCTCTGGAATTAGGCAAGACATTGAATAAAGGCCTAGAACAGTTCTTATGTCAGCAGTGCTGTGCTGAGCACTCTGGAGCACAGCCTATTACTTGCGATTGTTCTTGATACAGAATCTTTGTGGGGGGTAGAGTTCCTCCTTTAATTTTGACAGTGTAGGTCTATGGGACCACAAACTAAACACTGATGGTAAAGGTAAGTAAAAATCTATGTCTTACCATAGAGTGGCCTTTTGTGTATTATCCATTCAGAAGTGCAAATTAGTGTTTGATCTTACTGTTGTACTCAAGTATTTTAAAAAAAAAAAAAAAATTTTTTTCCCACAAATTAGGGAGGAAAGAAAAGACCCCCTCTCCGCATTGGCAAGAGAATATGGAGGATCTAAGAGGAACGCTCTGTTGAAGTGGTGTCAGAAGAAGACAGAAGGCTATCAGGTAACCATGTGGTCCTCCCATTCCGCGTGAGCAATTGCTGAACTGGTGCCATCCAGCACCACTCATCATGGAGTTTACATTCAAAATGATGTTTTGTTTTTTTGTTTTCAAGACAGGGTTTTTGTGTGTAGCCCTGGCTGTCCTGGAACTCACTTTGCAGACCAAAATGGCCTCAAACTCGGAGCTCAGCCTACATCTGTCTCCCAAGCACTGGGATTAAAGGCCAACACTGCCTGGCTCAAAATGATTCTTACATTGAATTTTAGGAACACATTCTCAAAGTCCATACTGAACTTTGTCAGGTTTTACCCCTGGGACAAAATAAGTTTCTTTATTTGAAAAGTAACCAGTTTCAGTGAGCACCTTACTTACTTTGTGTTTGTGAGTGTGCGTGTGGAGAACAGGGGACAGCCTTCAGGCAATGCTTTTCTCCTTCCACTGTGGGTTCCGGGGACCTAGTTCAGGCTGTCGGCTTGTGCTATAGGCACCCTTACCCGGGGAAGACTCTCACAGCCTTCCAGGTGCTTCTGTTGAGATGCCATCCGGGTTAAGATTGAAAACATACATGTGCCACTTAAGCCTATTTTATGTTAGTTCCATATTAGGTTTGTTTTCATAGCATTTTGCCATTCCTATTGTGGTTTATGCCTCATTGTTTCATATCTGGACTATTATAATGTCCTGTCACTTCTTCCTCTCTTTCTTTCAGCATTTTATTCAGGTTTTTTTTAAGTGGTGTTAAATATGACTGTGAAGAAGATATTTAATTCCATACAAATTAAATGTATTATACGCCTAAAAATGCAATTTAGATTTCCAAGATCTCTGCACATAGTATTTAAATTACAGAGACTTTCTTGATTGTAACTGATTTCCCTCAGAAATGAGCAGAAGTACATGACAGAGTGATTGGACTTCTGCAGTCCTGGGCTCATATTAACAAAATGGCTGAACAAAAACTATGGCTAAATGAAAGAAATAACAGAGTAGTAGAGGAGTCAGTACTGTTAAGAAGCCTCCTGAGGGCAAATTTGTACATGACTCAGGCAGTGATTGTCAGTCCATTTAGGGTTACTGAGCCAAGTGTATGCAGATGGAAGGAGAAGGCAGTGTCACTGAGCACCTGTTCTCAGCTCTCACTCGCTACAGTGGAGATTACAGTGAGGCTCTGAAGAAATGGGGAGCTAGGCAGTGTCAGACATACCTGCTCTGGGAGATAATTTAGTAGTCCTTAAATTTAGAATTACCATATGATTTGACAGGTACATCTCTGGATATATAAACAGAAGAATTGAAAACAAGGGTCCAAAGAGACAGCTTAGGTCATCCCACGTTTATATTTATAGCAACATAATTCACAGTAGCTAAAGGGTGGAAAGTGCAGACACCCCAGTGACGGTGGGCAAATGAGTGGGTGAGTAATACGGGACCCCTGCCTACAGCAGACTGTTGTATGTGTATGATGAAAAAATTCTGATACACATCACAACATATATGGCCCTTCAAGGCTAGAGGACAAACCGTGTACAAAAGGACCAACTCTGTATGATTGTGCTTATGTAAGAACACACAGCAGTGACATAAGTACACACAGACAGTGTGCCATCTTTGTGTGGGCTGGAAGGAGGAAGGATGGGAGTTATTGTTTAGGAGCTGCAAGAGGAGGTGGAGGTGGTGATGGAAGTATAATAGTGCGAGCGTTCTCATGCCACTGATGGTTAAGGTTATGAATTGTATGTGTAGTTCATCACAATAAGAAAATTGCTTTTGAAGAAAGCAGAGGATTGCTGCCCCAAGATATATTTTTGGAGGCTGTTATGAAAGGTATTGTTTCCCTGATTCTTTCTCTGTTTGTTTGTTCTTTGTATATAAGAAGGCTACTGATTTTTGCATGTTCCTGCTACTTTGCTGAAAATGTTTTATCAGCTGCAGAAGTTTCCTGATGGAGATTGTAGGATTATTTATGAATAAAATCATAACATCTGCAAATAAAGATGCACAGACTTCTTTCTTTCCACTGGCTTCCCCTTGATCTCCTTCCATTGTAGTAGTGCTCCAGCCATGACTTTATGTGCCATATTGAATAGGTATCTTGTTCTTGATTTTAGTGGAAATGCTTGAGTTTCTTTGTGTTTAGGCTGATTGGATATGGGCTTGGTGTAGATTGCCTTTATTATGTTGAAGTGTGTTCCTAGTTAGTATCCCTTATTTGCCAGGACTTTTATCATGAAAGGGTATTGGTCTTTACTGTACCTCATGAAATGATCATATGGGTTTTGTCTTTGAATATGCTTACATTGCTTATTATATTTCTTGATTTATGTGTGTTGAACCATCCCTCCACCTCTAGAAAGAAGCCAACTTGATTATGGTAGAAATTGTATTTGATGTTTTCTTGAATCCAGATTACAAGTATTGTATTAAGGAATTTTGAGAGCCGGGCAGTGGTCGCCTGTAATCCCAGCACTTGGAAGGCAGAGGCAGGTAGATCTCTGAGTTTGGCGCCAGCCTGGTCTACATAAGTGAGTTCCAGGACAGCCAGGGATACATAGAGAAACACTGTCTCAGCAAAAAAACAAATAAAAATTTGCATCTATGTCAATCTCAAAAAATTATGAGATTAATCTGTATTTTGTTTCTTTACTTTTTTGGTGGGGCTTTTTGGAATCAGGGTAATTATTACCTCATAAAGGCTTAGGAAGTGTTCCTTCAGTTACTAGTTTGTTGAACAATTGCTATTAATTTCTTTTTAAAGTTCTGGTAGAATTCCGTGCTGATTCCATCTGACTTTTTTTATTTGGTCGTTTTTTCTTTTTCTTTCTTTCTTTTTTTTTTTTTTAAGATTTACATTTATTTATTATTTATACAGTACTTTGCCTGCATGTAAGCCTACACACCAGCAGAGGGCACCAGATCTCATTGTAAATGGTTGTGAGCCACCATGTGGGTGCTAGGAATTGAACTCAGGACCTTTGTTAGAGCAGCCAGTGCTCTTAACCTCTAGGCCATCTCTCCAGCTATTTGGTTGTTTTTTGATTAGGAGACTTTTAATTATTGCTTCTGTTTCATTAGGGGTTATGGGTCTGTTTAAATAGCTTATTTGATCTTCATTTAGATTTGGTAGATTGTATATACCAAGAAATTCAGACACTTCTCTTAGGTTTTCCAGTTAGGTAGACATGTTTAAAGTTTGTCTTTTTGATTCTTTTATGTCTTTGTGATTGCCTTGGGTCTGTTGTAATGCCCTTTTTCATCTCTGATTTCATTAATTTGTACCTTCTGCCTTTTTAATTTGGCAAAATACTCATCAATTAGAGCCACCTCTTGATTTCATTGACTCGTTGTATTTTGTCGTTGTTTCTATTTCATTGATTTCAGCCCTGAGTCTGAACCATTCAGCACGTATTGCACGCTGGTTCTCAGTCAGGATTTGGAGATTTAGCACAGTTGGCTTCTTCACAGACGGGAGCGGGGCAGCCAGCTGTGTTCAGGTATGCAGTGCCCTTTATACTGATCCCTGCTCAGTGGTCTTTACCTCACCACTCACATTTGAGCTCCTTCTAAGAAATCCAGTAGCTGAAAACAACACAGGCTGCCAGCACACTGTTAGACCCCATGATGCTGCCTTTCCGGACATTGATGTACTTGTGATAACTGGCTGTCACCCCTTTGAAAGGCTTCCACAGTGCCACTGGGGCTGAATATCAATATCTGCATCAATATCCAGCTTGGAAGCTTTCCAAGTTTAGCCTCCATGAGCTTCTCTTTCAGTGGCATGAGCAATGCCATCATGCAGTCTTGCTGTCCCAGTGCGGATGCTGGGGACTGATTTCAGGGCCTCTGCAAGAACTGTACGTGCTCCCAGCTGCTGAGCCATCTCTCCAGCCCCAACCATAATCTCTTTAAGATTGATCTGTTAGAGCTCTGAATGTGTCAGACACCACGTAAGGAGTGCCAGAGCCCCATTCCAGGCTAGCTGTGTCTATGGTGAGCGTGTGTATCCTCAGCACCAGAGTGGGTTCAGGCCTTTGGTCTCTGCTACCTCACAAGGGTCTGGTTTGAAAGGGCAGGTTGTGACACTTCTGTGCAGCAGAGCAAGCCTGTTAGGTGACATTTTATGTGCACTGTTCTCACAGACCCTCAAATGGACCACAGGTGCTTTATGTCAGAGAAGCTATCTAATCGATGGAGAGAGATTCCCCAATACTCATCTTTTTTCATTAACTCTTTTAAGTGGCATCTTCAAATTACTGTGCTGATCACTGTAATCTTATTAACCATCCATTACAAAATAAGCCCTTGTGAATTCACCTTTTATCTAATACTTTTAACAGATACTTTTGTCTCCTATAGTTTGTGCCCTGCCATGTATTGAGCACCGTAGATTAGCTAACACTAAAGTATTAGCATTGAAAGGACTTGGATGTTCTGATTTATTAAGGAAGAGAAACCCCCTGAAAGATAAAGGACTGCCCTGGTTATGTTGTGATTTCACAAGCGGCTTCTAGAACTGCTGCTTTAAGGACTGGATCTTTTTCTTTTTCTTCCTTCCTTCCCTCCCTCCCTTCCTTCCTTCCTTCCTTCCTTCCTTCCTTCCTTCCTCCCTTTCTCCCTTTCTCCCTCCCTCCCTCTCTCCTTCCCTCCCTCCCTCTCTCCCTCTGTCTCTGTCTCTGTCTCTCTCTCTCTCTCTCTCAGCTATGCCTCACTGTGTTGGGGGTGGAACTCAGGGCCAAGCACTCTTACCCACTCGACTACATCCCCAGTCCCCAAAATTATGCTTTAGAATTACATTAAGTATGGACTTTACAACACATTTTTTCCTTTTAATAAACTGTTTTTTGAGAATTTTATACTGTTTTTTAACTATATTCTCACCTCTCCCCTATCTCCTCCCACATCTACCCCTTCCCTATCTACTTCACTTGTGTCTTTCTTTCTTTTTTTTTTTTTTAATAAAAAACAAAAACCGCTCTGGCAGTGGTGGGCCCAGTGCTTGTGAG